AGAGGGTACCGATAACCGTAGAGGCCGCTCTTGTTGTCTTTCGGGATTCTGACTTCCTTCTGCAAGTGTGCAACAGGGACGTTACTCCCCACAATGATCGAGACTCGTTCAAAGTCCACCACTGGGAATGTAAGGTCTTGAAGGTGCGGATACTTATGGACATCTACTGTCCCCGGCAAAATTCGTTCTGATTGATTCAGGTCAGGGAGAACGTAAGCTTCATTAACATCAATGTCTTCACCGTATGCTTCTACAGGACTGAGAGTAAAGGAAACGCGTCGACTCTCCACCAGCTCCTCGCTGTTCGTAATAGTCTTAATCCCGATTTGCTCCGAGATCCCTTTCAGGTCAAGATGATCAGCAAGCTCTTTGTCAATGAGGGTATCGGTACAGCCATTGTCAAGAAATGCATATGTAGAAAGGGAACCACCGTTCTCTGCAGTAATGGTTACAGGAACTACATTTAACAAAACTTGGGCTCTTGTGGTGCTGACACCGGCAGATGTAATCGAGTTCTGTGCCTGTCGCTGGGCTGCTGTCTTGTGCCTTGTCCATTTGTGGTTGCGGGTTATTGGGTCAGCAGTCGGAGTACTGTATCGGTTAGTGGGGTTATGAGTGTTCTTTTTCCAGGAGTTCTGCGTCCATTGTTGTTGTCCCCCTGCAGTATTGGTAAGTGGTGTCCAGGACACAGAGAACAAACTGCTGGCTCAGGACAGGAAGTACCACTGTGATCGGGATTATGGCAACCACAGTTAAAGCAGAACCCATACGATGCTGCATATTGTCGACGCACGGCTACACGGTCACACTGTTTGACGATTGGGCACCCTGGAGTCGGTGGGGAGTAGACTTGCAAATTGCACAGTTTGCAGAGTTCTCTTTCTTGGGGGCGTTCTTAAGCGATGTGGCGTTGATCGTAGCATTTTTCGTGGGCAGGTCCGATCCTTTAGAAGCTTTGGGGGGAACTTGTTTGTCCTGTTTTTCCCTTTGCTGCTGCATTCCCAAACACTGGGTCATTCCTTATCGACGCTTGCCTTTTCACAAATTTTGCAATGTCCTTTAGTCGTGCAGTTCCACCACGGCTAACAATCTCGTAGTTTTCGGTCTGCCACTTGGTGATTAAATCATTTGGGAGTCTGTTTACGATTCTTCTCAAATTGGTATACGCTTGCTTCGCATGTTCCACATCTCCTTTCAGAACCTTGGTTGAAGTGTTCAGCTTCTCGGCAAAATTAAGCAGACCCATGTTGTCACCATAGGCAAGTTTGGGGCCTGAGACTAACTCTTCGATGCAGGCTTGCGTCACCTGAATAGGGCGACCAAAGCGTTCCTCTAAGATCTTCATTAGCTCACTATAGGAGGAGCCTCGGTTTCTTTTGATGACCTCCAAGGCTTCTCCTTTCAGGAACTTCGGTAAGTACTCTACCCGCTGCGCATCAGTTAGTAGCTCACTTTCAAGGTGAGTATGTGCCTGTTCTTTGAAGAACGGGAAGTCTGCTGGGTTGCCATTAAAGGGTGTAGGAGAGATTCCGTTCAGAAGCTGTACCTTCCACATGGCTGCTACATGGTCTTTAGGGGCTTGCTCTATTACTTTGTCTTCTGGCTGAGACTTAGGTCTATACTGGAAGGTTCGTGGGGCTTGGTATGGTGGCTGCTGGCATTCAGTGACTGGCAGTGCTCCCTTGTTTGCAGTATCGGCAATATTGGATTTGACCTCAGTGGCTGGCTTTTCCTTGCACGAACCAGGTGCTGTGTCTTGGGGGGTGGAGCAACTGACAGGTATAAGAGGCGGTGAAGGTTTGGGTGTCGGTGCTGGGATTTTTGGTGTTCGGGGTTCTGAATCATCAAGTTGAATTTGAGGTGACTGTCCCAGTGGTTTCTCCTCAATGGGATAGGTTGTCTGAACAATATTGTCCACACCATTAACAACACCAGTTTCCTCGTCGAACTCATTTTCAATCTTCCAGTCCAGCTCAGCTAGAACGGCTTCGTCCTCGAGTAGTCTCAATTCCTTCTTTGCGCTCCGCTCATGCTCTGCTTTGACCAATTCGGCTTCTTGTTGAGCCTTACTCTTCGCCAACTCAGCTTCCTCTTGTGCCCTACTCTTCGCTAACTCCAATTTCTTTTTTGCTAAAAGCATGGCTCTAAACCTTTCTTTCCGGGACGACGAAGAGGATCTTGAAGTAGTGGAGCTCTGAGACTGGTGCGACTTGTGACTTTTAATGGAGCGTTCATCATCACGTTTTTGTGTTTCTTGATCAGTCCGTATTTGCGTTTCGCATTCTTCTATTGTAAACATCATCTGTTCTTTGAGGGACTTGAACCTTTGCTGTACTTCTTGTAGTCGTTTGCTGTCACGTATGCCTGGCAGGTACTTCGAGTGTACAGTCTCAAAGGATTTCCAAACGATAGCTAAACGATCTACTATTTTGCGGGCGGACAAGTGCTCCCAATTAGTGTAGAGGAGAGTTTGGAGCTGCTGTGTTTCAAAGGCAACTTCTTTAGATTCCTTGTTCCACAAAGATGCAAGTCTGCGTTGTTCGCTTATTTCGCGTTGATGCACAAGTTCACTAAAATCAATTTGAGTATTTGGTACGGGGTCCTGGCGTAGGGAGTATCCAACTGCTCCTCTCGCTGAGTCCTCAGGGTCCATTCCGCGATCCACTATCGCGCGGTCCAGTCCAGAGATTCCTGCGATTCCGTTCGGTCGGTTCTGAGCGTTCGTTTTCTCGAGAATCCAGGTGAAAACACAGTTTTCTCTTCGTACTTTGTAGAATTTTTCACAATGTTGGGGTCGACACAGAAATTTCGACGCGTTGATTGGACTATTAATCTGTCTTTAATCGCCAAGTTTCTCGTGCTTGGTTCGATCGGTGATCACTGGTCATGAACGGTGAAAACTGAACATAAAATAAGCAAAAATGACAAATAAACCTAAAGAAAACCTAAATAAACCTAAAGCGACACTAAAGAGCCAAACTACTTACATTCTGTGCGATGCAATCGATGAGAAATTCAAAACATTTGCTCTATAACACTACACTTGAAAACACGTGGTGATCTGCTTTTGCTGTGGTCATGTGACCATCCGAAACTAACATGATATAAGTAGTCACGTAGTGTCCAAAAGGGAAGTGGACGCAAAAATAAATCAAAATAAAATTTGGACTAAACAAAGCCCCCTTTCTAATAAGCCTTCCTTTTCAGGGGAAGAAAGTTAATAAGTCCCTCTCTCTTTTAAACCCCCCCCTCCCGCCGTCTTCTCCCCCTTATTATTATTCACTAATAAATGATAAATGGTAGTCTCTATTAATCAAGTACGACTGTAAAACTAATCCAGGATGGTTTATTCACGTGTTAGAAGTTCGGGATGATTTGTTGTTGATCCTCGGCTGCATGACCTCCAACGTCTTGTACTTTAGCTTTTCCACTTTGCATTGTAGTCATTTATGGGGAACTGATACCACCATCTTCGCTAGAATAAATAAGCCCTCCCCCCTTCTCAAATAAGCCCCTTGTCTCTATTAAGCGCCCCTCAAACGTGTTTGAAATTAATAATTCCGGGGGGGGTGCTAGATAGAGGATAATTTACGGTATCCGTGATTATAGCTCCAATTGTGGATCATTTTTATCGGCCTTGTTTTTTATTTTATTTTTCTTCGCTTTTTGTTATGGTTATCTGTGATAATTATTTGAGTTTGACGGCAAAAGAAAAAAAAGTTTATTCTAAGATGAATGTGAACCACAACATCTGACAATTTGCTATGATAGTAACCATACACGTGATTATATGGGATTAAGGCGAGGTCTACTTGTCTTGTTGCTATAGGCTTTTATGAAACACTGAGACATATTGCATGTATTGCAGTTGATTTAAAAATGAAAAGAAAATAAAAATGAAATTTCTAGTAAACGAAAAACTCCCATTGCGTCGCAGACGTAATCTAACTCCCGGTTAGTAACTTTTCATAAATTTAGTTCCTTCTGTGGCGCGGGCTACGAGTTCCTTGAGTGACTTTTTCTTCGTTCATTTTTCTTGGTTTGGAATGTTCCCTTTTTGGACTGTTAGTACCGAGGAAATCAGAGCTAGAAGCTCAGACCATTTGTGGGTAATTGTTTATGACATTATTTCCTTTGTATTATTTTTTTTTTCACGTGTTTCAGTTTACATCCCGAAAGAAGCTACATTTCCCGTGTCTGTATATATCGCTATTGTCTGTGCCAGCAGCAGCGGGAGTATGTCTTGTGGGGTCTGGGACGAGGGCGAGCAGACGTTCACAGCTGGGGAGTGGGAAGGAGGGGTGGGAAGAAAGAAGACATTCTGTTGTCCCGTTGCGTTAGAAACCAAGGAGACAATATTCGAAGATGAGTTAAACAGTCTTGTTTTCCATTCACTGGGGCGAAAACGAAACAAAAAACCGGATAATTAATACTTCATTTCTACCGGAAGATCATTCAGCTGCACTGTGCACGTGCCTCGAGTCAGAGAATTTTTTGTTTGGAATGATAAAGGCAAAGTTTTAAAGCTGTGGATTAGAATACCCATTCCGACCAGAGCATTTTGACCAATACATGTGCATCACAACAGTATCGACGATGTCTGCCTAGTAGTCTTGCCGTGGATAATAGAATAATTATGATTGTTTCGTTCTCTTTAACCTACTTGGAGTTTTGAACCCTATTTTAAAAAATTTTCCTTGAGCGGGGATTTTCTCCTTAAACTGAAAAGTAGCAAATGTTTTCTCTTTTAAATGAGCACAAGTAGTGAAGTGTTTTTAGTCTTTGTGTTTGAACACTGTACAGTTCGCCCCACGCAATTCGTAGGAGGTTCATTGTCCTCACCGGCCTCATGGTTTTACGCCGACCGGGCACATTAATTTTCTTTTTTGCTTCGTATATGGCATTAGTCTGCCGACGCCTTCGCTCATTCCGCTTGAAATAAAAAAGAAGCTTGATCAAAGCTTAATTATGCTTTAACACATCTAATCAACACACGAGAAAAATATTTTTGTCTTGTAACTTTATGAAACCTAATGTAGTCGGAACGTGATTACTTCCTCTTTTTTATTGAATCCGGCATTATTTTCGAATGTTAACGGAAATTTCAACACCAAAGAACATCGAAACGGAAGAGAAATATTTCAGTTTTGATACCTAGATTTCTATTCACTTATCTCCGCGTGTTAATAACGTCACCTTGTCTTTCCTGATAGACATTCCAAAACGTGGTTCCGTTTTTAGGTGCAGGTGCGCTGCGATCTGTGGTTTTTTTTATTTGTGAACTGAAACCCCAATTCTTATTCTTTCAAACAGCTCAAAGCTACAAATTTGCTTTGCCATAGTTTGGCTATCGAAATAGTGCACAAGAGACAAGTTTATTTCGTGGGACAAGCAAATAATCACAACTGGTTTTGTTGGGAGAGTGGGAAAAGACTTCCCTTTTGCTTCTGTATTTTGATTGGATGCCTCGTCCCCACGCAAATGTAGGCCACTTGCTCGTATTAACAATAACATGGCGGCATCGGAAGGTGATCATCGCGTCCAAAAATCTCCGGCTGCAGCACAAAGGCCACCACATCTCAGGGCCTTAGAGGTTTTTACGACTCGTGTTTAATGTTTTGCTGCTCTCTTTTTAGTTGTGTCGCTTACTTTTTACCGCGTTTTTCACCCTAGGGCTTGACTTTCTCTGAGAGCATGTCAAGACGACCCCCTCGCCTTCGAAGGCGCTCAATTTCGGTGTCCTCAACCGATAGCTATGGGAGTTCAGGTGAAAGAAACGTGCTCTTGATAACGCTGTGTCACTTTTTGATGCTTTAACGAGGTTTTGGTGTGGTTTGGAGGTTCCGAATTTGATATATTTTCATTCACCGGTCAAATCGATCGACACAGTGTTGACGCTAAGTTTAATTCGCGTCCCGAAGTAAAAGATGTGAACGTTCTTCCTAAAATAAATTTGTACATTTTTTTATTCCCAGTAGAGCCGTACTATTACTATTACCATTTTACGGGATTTTAGAATAGTGAGCTGTCTATTGTGTTTGAGTTTCAGTCCCGTAGTTTGCGTTAACTTATTTGAAATTGCAAGGCGATGTGGTCTTCCTTTGGTGTATTTAATGCGTTGATATTTGCCCTCTTGTAGCAAGCTACTCCGACAGCTATTCATCAGATGAGGATGATGTTTCACCAAGGGAACGTTCTCAGGTTTGCTTTCATAATTATTTATCAAGGCTCTTTTAGTTAAGCTTAAGCTTTAATATATGCACCTTCTCCACGCTGGCTAAAGTAAGCTCATCATGCACACACTTTGAAATGTATTTTAATAGCACTGCGCTGGTTTCCTTTTGCTATAATGCTACCTCACCCTTACCGTGCATCATGAAACAATTGATTTAATGCCTTCTCAAGGACTTTAGACCTTCACACCTGAAAAGTTACAGTGGCTAAAAAGATTTCGGCATTCCCAGTCCATCGTGGTTTCCATGAACGGGAAACGAAATTGTGATGATTCGTGACAGATTGAAGAGGAAAAAATTCGAAATTTACATGAGTCACGTAAAGTTTTACAAACAAATGCAAGTATTGTGATTAAAAGCACCCCAAATTTTTGCAGAACCAATATAATGCCACTTCATTATTATTTTTACGTACGATTACCGTAGTCCCTCATCTGTGAAGATATTAAGCATGCCTTACGTCACGAATTTAATACGTAATCAGGCAATATAAACTGGACGAGTTTGCATTGTCAACTTTGTTTGGCCACCGGACTGCTCATCGTTCATGGCACACGTGAATATAATGGTTCTTGACTGACGCAGAGGATGTTTTAATGTAAATGCATATTTATTAACTTGCATAAAAGGAATGTTATTTCATGAATGACTAGTTTAGGTCAGTCTGTTAAGGCTTTTATGAACTGGTATACAATCTCAGCTTGATATCATCATAAATATAATTGTTTGTTTTTTCCACCCGGACTGTTTTGTCTGTAGATGTAGAGAAGTCATTTCAAGTTAGAGAATCTGCTTGAAGTTTGAAACATTCAACCTTTTTTCCAGAACTTCTGAAAATATTTTTATACAAAGATGAAATCAATAGTGTGACTGATAACTATATGCCAAACTCTGAAAAGTTGAGATTTTTGCATAACAAGCATGCATAGGAATTTGTGGTTTTGGGGTGAACTTGAAAGCAAATAGCAGACAGCACCCAAAAGAATTAGACAGACCCTGCCTTAAATTTGATGTCATGTTGATGGGATGATCAGACCATTACAGAGCCAAGGATAAAGAAATGTTTTTTCTAGTCCTAGTTCTCGATCTTTTGGCAGGGGAGGATTGAGTCTGGTTTTGTTGCTATTGGCAGCAAAATAGTGCTTCTCACAATTTTCAGTAATGAATAAAAAGAACTGTAAACTGTTTGGTCAAGTGGTATTGTGCAACATTATGCCCATATTATACTTAAGAAGGACTGATTTGTAGTCTTATTAAGGTGCATCTTTCATGTGTCATCTCTGTTACTTTTTGGGATCGTTAAAGGAATTTATCTTTTTTTGTGGTTTTCCAAATCACCTGTGACTGGATTACTTTTAATCTGTTTGTTCCTGCAATAATAATCTGAATTAACCATTATCAAGTTGCAAATATTGTATTCACTGATTTCTTTTTCTAAAAAAAATATCAAATCTATGAATTATGTACATGTAGACGAGGGTGGTAAATCTGTTTGCTTTCTTTGGGTTCCTAATAATACAGAAAGGAGAAAAAAATAAAGAAAAAACTTCCAGTCATTTCTAATTTACAGCCATCGTGTGTAGCTTTCAAAATGATGAATTCTCCGTACTCTGTGATAATAATAGATATTTTGTTCTGTTTTAGTCGTTTGATTATTGTACATGATCACTGGCTTGCTTTGCTAGAATTCTAATGCAATGATTTTGGCTTCTTTGCTTGTCACACTAGCTTTAATATCTCATGTTTTTCTCTATGTAATGCTGTAATAAATTGCTGTATTTGACAGATGGTTCATCTTGCATGTTTAATTTCATTGCATGCGTGAAAGTTGATCATACGTTCATAATGATTAGATTTGATCTTTTACATCCCATGATCAATGTGCAAATTCTCCTTAGCAATTTTTGTGCTCTATGAGAAGATGAAAATTTTAGATCAAAGTTATTCATTAATTTTATTGTGGTGATTGGATTCTTAGTTCTTTTGAGCTAGATGTTTGATCTTTACAGCTATGTTATAAGGAGAGATTTGTTGTTGATCACTTTTGGGATTTAAAAGGTTGAAAAAACTAGACTGTAATGCATCCATTTTCCATCCATGTGCAGAAAAACAGCAGTGGTGGATCAGATTTTTGTGTTAAGAATATTAAGCTGGCTGACTTTGGTCGCAGGGAAATTGAAATAGCTGAACAAGGCAAGCGGAACTTTGTATATTGTCTTTGGGGAAATCTAAATCTTTCCCTTTAGGGAAAAGAAGACAGAAAATACTAGGGAAAGAAGTCTATGTGGGACTCATTCTTTTATGTAAAACACCAGATGATTTTGCCTGAAAGTCAATTTGCCTGATGGCAAGTTGTTCAGAGAAGTCTCCATTTGCGCTGACTTTGTTGATACTAATGTAATACTCTACATGTACCTGAACTAGCATTGGGCAAATTGACATTAGTCCAGGCAAATTGACTTCTGGGAAAATTGGTGAGCCACAGTTTTGATTACTGGTACAATGAATTTACAATGAATTTATTTGTGGTAATATTGAGAGGGACTTGAAGGTACCTCATGTTTGTATATTCTTGTGAAAATCAATGTATTTAATCTTTAATTTCTCAATAATTTCCTTGGTAATACACGCATGTTATATGAAGCAGCCTAGTTCATAATCATTATCATCATCATTCTCATCATCATCATCATCATCATCATCATGATATATCATCATAATCATTATCATACATTTGTATATCATTATCATTGCCATTGTCATTACTATTGACATGGCCATCCTCGTTGACGTAGCCTTCACCAATCATCATCATTATCATTATCATCAATATCATCATCATCATCAGCATCAATATTTTATTTAGTATTCCGTTGGTAAGTACATGGATATAGGTTAACATTGCCAGGAAGGTCTAGCCACTACCAGTAGCAGGGAAGGTCTACCTTGTGTGCAACTTTGAGAGTTCCATTATAAAACTTTATACTTCTCTTTCAAAGTTTATTGAAAAAAGTAGCAAACAGAGAAATTTGTTGTGAAAACCTTAAATTGCAAGTACTGTATGTGAAAATCTATGAATGCACATTTGAGGATTTTCCATGATTGCAAATGCAGATTGGCTGTTTATTCCCATAGCAATTTTTTGTGACATTTTATTGTTTGTGGTAATGATAGAGGAGAAGTAATTAGATTTTTTGGTTATTTCTTTAGTGTAATACAAGTTTTGCACAAAAATGTTTTGGGTAGAAGCAATTTTTAGTGATCTCACTACAGTATGAGAATCACAAATCAAATTTTGCAAAAACTTCGTGGTGAAGGTTGTTATATTTTGATAGAGAGCTATCAAAATTCTCTTCCCTATTTAGCTATAAATTCAGTTAATCTGTGCTATTTTTCTGTTTTAGAAATGCCAGGGCTCATGTTGCTTCGAAAACGGAACTGCACAGACAAGCCTTTGGAGGGAGCTAAGATTGTTGGATGCACTCATGTAACTGCGCAGGCAGCAGTGAGTAAAATATTCTACAGCAAAACTGGTTTGGCTGAGATTTCTGTTGATTAAAATGTTGTCATTTCTCTTTGTCTTACTAAAAGTGACCTTGAAAGATGCTGTGATTGTTTATTGCGGCACACTCTACCGCTCAAAGTAGTCAAAGATTCCAAAGTTTCATCTTTAGTGATTACTGAGTGGGTATCATGCGTTACTCTGGGTTTGAATTTGACACCCTAGTCAGCAAGTGTGTCTTTTTTGCTGCAGGATTCCTGGTTTGATCTGTGATTGAGTGGTGTGTTGCACACAAAAAATGGTGGTTCTTACCATTAGAGATAGTGAAACATTCCATTCTACCACATTAGCAGACTTCTTTTGGTCCACTATAATTCTTGTACTTTGGACTGTAGTTTTAATTCTTAACCCTCTCAGGAGAAGTATTTATTATTGTTTCTCTTGAGGAAAGAATCCTGTTTCTCAAGATTAAAGTCTTGTCGGACCTTGACTTGCACTTAAGCAGTACACTATGAAGACTGATAATTATACAAATTATTTGGACTTCCTAGGTTCTCATAGAAACCCTTGCTGCTCTTGGTGCACAAGTGCGTTGGTGCGCTTGTAACATTTACTCAACACAGGTATGTGTTTCTATAACTATACAGGTTCTTTTTCTCCCATAGTAAATAATGATGGAGTCTTCTTTTGAGTCTGTGGATGAAATCTTGCGATGTAGTGAGTAGAAGGGTTTAACGTTTTGTACATTATATAAATTCAAAAAATTTTATCTTTCTCTACAGAATGAGGTTGCAGCAGCATTGGCGGAGGCAGGTCTGTAGATTCTTTTAACTTTTAAGTCTATTCACAAGGTTAGAAATATTGAGCACTCGAAGTTGGTCGGTCATTTGGCCGAGTCATCGTATAAAAATGGATCTTGTGACAAGCATGCCATTTATTTTCAGGAATGATTGAAATGATGTACCACTTTGATAACTTTTGGAACTTTGGCAATGATGTAATTTCCCTCAAATCAAGGCTCTTAACTTTTATTTATAGATGGGTGCTCCTGCCTCAATCAATTCAGAAACAAATAATATTGTTGAATAAAAATAAATACCCTGAAGTTTATTCAACCGTCAATAGAATAGGATGGGAAAAACTTATAGTGAGCAAATCCTTTTTTTGTGTAGAAAGCTACATTTTGCAGAGACATGCTCAGTAACCAGCAATGGCAGAATCTTGAAATTTTAAACCTAGAGTAAGGAAAAGTTATAAAATGTTTTTTAGAACGTGACTATTCAAGAAAGCGTGAGAAAACTGTGATTTGAAATCTGTGATGTTTGTGAAATTCTGAGATGCATGTTTGTGAAATTCTGAGATGCATGTTTGTGAAATTCTGAGATGCATTTATAACAAAGTTGTGAGACATGGCAAGTCTGAACCTGGGTTTTAAAATTCTAACCTCTATTTGGTTTTGACATTTAATGCATGTACTATGGTCCCCAGGCTTCCCTATCTTTGCATGGAAGGGAGAGTCTGAGGAGGACTTCTGGTGGTGCATAGAGCAGTGCATTACGTCAGATAAATGGCAGCCAAATATGGTGTTGGATGATGGCGGTGATGCGACCCACCTGATGTACAAGAAGTTTAATGGTACGTTCAACACCCTACGTGGTGTTGTGGAGGAGAGTGTGACTGGTGTTCACAGGTGAGGCCTTGTAAATGTATGGCTGCAAAGTTGTGCTCCATTCATTATAGATCCCCATAAGATAAGGTTACTTTTTTGTTTTTGATTATTGTTGGTTGATACAGTCCCTTGCAAAATGCTTACGGTAGATGACAATATTCCATTGTTATTCAACACAGTGTGCAAAAAAAAAATTCATGTCCAATAGGCTGGGGCTAGTGCATTTTGCCATTGCGCAAGTGATTTCTGTTGTCAACTTGCCTGACGTGAAGTATTCTGGGGGAATTCAAATTACATATTTTAAGACCAATGGCTTAAATTCCTACTTCGAAAGCTGTTTGATGAAGTGAAATTATCATGGTTATTAGTATAGTTAATTACCAAAGCAGGTAATAAATTACCTAATGGTGTAAATAGTTAATAAATATTAGTTAATCTAATCCTGTTTGTCAAAAATTTAACTTCCGGGCTAGTTAAATTGCTACAACCAGCCTCAAGAGCAAGCTGTAAAATTGACCTTCTTTGCACCATGCAATATTTCAGGTTATACCAGCTATCAAAGCAAGGAAAACTAACGGTTGCAGCCATGAATGTCAATGACTCAGTCACCAAAGTAAGCAACTCTAATTAATAATAGTCAGCTGTTTATACATCTCTGGTGCTTTTTCAAATAGTGGCGGTGTTTTCGCTGAGAAGTCATAAAGAAGAACCAATTGTTGATAGACTTATTTTTATTTTCTTGCAGACAAAATTTGATAACATGTATTGCTGTAGAGAATCAATTTTAGATAGGTATGTATGCCAAAAATGATAAAATAATATTTTTTGTAATCAACATCTAATTTAATGTTTTCCTTGATGGAATATTACAACCTTACATGTATAAATTACATCCCAGCAAAGTACACTTAAGTTTTCACTATTTTAAAATTGTTTTGTCCTATAGTTTAAAGAGAACCACGGATGTCATGTTTGGAGGAAAGCAGGTCCTTGTTTGTGGATATGGTGAGGTGAGTGAATTAGGACCCTCAAGAGAATTTTTTCATTCTTTGTGTAACTGCGTATATACAGTGTAACACAGCAACTTAGTATACGTAAGTTTTGTTTGGAATTCTAACTCTCTTAGATAAATTAGGTTTTAACTCCCGTCAGTTTTCCATGTCATTTCTTCATGTCATCACTTTCAGTTAAAAATGCAATGGTATTATTTTCTCAAATTGATTTTTGGTAGTGTTGAGCTGTTTGTTATTCTTGATGGTTTTATTTGAACTGGATGTAAAAACTGCTGTTATTAGTGCATTTTTAGGTGAAACATTTTTGCATTAAAATTTTTTTATGTAGTTTAATTAATGCATTTGTTTAAAACATCTTTTTTCTGGGCCAAGTGATAGTATAATGTTTTTATTCTACAAATTCGTTTCAGGTGGGCAAAGGTTGTTGTTCTGCTCTCAAAGGTCTTGGTGCCATAGTTTATGTAGCAGAAATTGATCCAATCTGTGCACTGCAGGCATGGTATGTGGAGTACATGTATCTCTGCTGTATTTCAGCAAAACCTTGGTCCATGGTGATCACCCTAATGGGGCCTGGGGCAGATTCAGGATTTGTGATGATGGGGTTCAAACAAGCAACTGCTTTAATAATGCAAATGTATTAAAGGAGTTGTGTCACAAAATTCATCAAAATTCAAACAGTTGTAACTGGTACTAAGTTGGCTGAAACATAGAAAATGCTGCTCAGAATTTTGAAGAATGTATAAAAAACACTAAGTACCAAAGTGAAAGAAGGCAGGAATGGACAAATTTTTAAGAAAGTTCATTTTTGTTGTTTGAGAGGTTGTTTATTTCACCAGAGAAAACAAAAGACGAGAGTACAGAAAATACACAAAAGGAATGTAGTGAGGAGGCCCAAAAAGAAATCATAAGGCTAATGGGCTCCCTCGGGGTATAAAAGTATAAGTTTACAAGGCCACGATCAAATGTATTTGTAACTGTTTACAGGTAAAATTTGATTTCAGGTTAAATTTTTTTAGCCTAGGTTTATTCTCAATTTCCTTTGTCTTCCAGGGCTTGGAGACATTGGAAATTGGGAATCAACCTAAGTTAAATCAAAATTAACCTGAAATCAAATTTGACCTGTAAGGTATACAAAGTAATTACCTGACATTGATAAAAGGTGGATAACTAACTTGACACAAAGCTGTGATTTTGTCATTGACAAATAATTTCTCAAGTTCCATAGGGGATAATATGCATAACTGGCATTGTAAACAAAAATGAACTAAACAGCTGTGAGACATCCCCATTAAAAGAGGTCTCCATCCTAAGGGGCGAATCTAAGTGCATTGATTTATGAAAATCAAGTATATTTTTGTGTCAAAACCAAAGAAAGTGCGAGAAAAGAAAAGTGATCAACCAGCCCGGGAGGTTCATCCAGGTTTCACAAATCTTTGCTACAATGTTGACGCTTCCTTTTTTTGACATAAAAAACTTTGTATTTTTATCAAGAGAAGATACCTAATTGACTGATCATGGCTTCTCAACCCAGCACTCTTTGATTATTGTTTTTAGCATGGATGGTTTCCGAGTAGTCAAGATTGACATGGTGGTGAAGCAGATTGACATCTTGATCACGTGTACAGGTATGTTGCTAAAACCAAATATTGTTCCATGGAATGCTGATAATCGGGCTGTTGTAAGTGTAAGCTCTTTTCATGTCAAAAATTCTAGCCATTTGTGATGAATAATGTACCATTAGAATTTTGTCTGAAATAACTGATTTACTGATGTGACAGCATTTTTGTTGTCTGCAAAATACAATGCTGCGTGCTCATATTTGGTGCTATATTATGTTCTTATGATCCACATTAATTCCTATTACTTATGTCAATACAATTTTAGTTTAAAGAAAAACCAATGATCTATTTTTGTTTAAAATTAGTAATAAACAATTTAACATTATTAGTCAACCTTTGTATGTCCTCCACCTTTCTATGTGACCATCGCATTAAGTCTATTCCATTCTACATTGGCAGCTCATTTTGACATGTAAATAGCATCTTTCATTATTTTTTTTATCATGCTCTTACATGTATATTATGTAATTAATTTTGTCTTAATATCTTTTGTTATTTCCCTTGTATTAAAATAGGCAACAAGCATGTGGTCACAAGGGATCACATGGACAGAATGAAGAATGGATGCATTGTTTGTAACATGGGGCATTCTAATACTGAAGTTGATGTGGTAAGATGCTTGTTACTATTCAGGCTTTGATATCAGTAACATTCCTGAACAGTGCTTTTCCGACCTTTTGGCTGGTTAGATTTCATTGCTGCAGCTGAAATGTAACAGATAATCCCAAACCAAGAATGTAGCATGCTTGACTGCGAATAACAAGGCAGGGTGACTGAGTGGTTAGAGTGCTGGAAATTATGATCAGAGCCCCCTATTAAGTCCCAATCTAGTGGGCATGTGTACCATCTACTGAGCTGTACATGGATTTCATGGTTTAACATTAACATTAACATCTTTCTTGCAGGCTAGTTTAAGAACTTCAGACCTGACATGGGAGAAAGTCAGAACACAAGTAGATCATATTATCTGGCCAGATGGCAAGAGAATTGTGTTGCTAGCTGAGGTACTGTCTGGTTTTCTTGGTTACAAACGTATGAAGTATTGTGTGTCAATGGAACACTGAACAGTGGATAATCTGCATGCCCTCCAATCAGTTTGTATGACAGCATGTGCATCTGTATTTCTGCAGTGATTCCTATGCCAACGAGTTGTGGCGTGAAATGTTTATAACTTTATTTTAATAATAATTATGAGGTTAAGACCCTGTTTACATGGAGTGGGGGACCCCGATCTAGTGGGGTAAGTTTCTTTTGTTTTGTGTCCCCCAGAGAGTGAAAACAAAAGAAACCAACCCTACTAGACCGGGGTCCCACACTCCATGTAAACAGGCCCTAAATGCTATTTCAGCTCTCATAAGGTGCAAGTGTGCCCAAACACCTTAAAGTGAATGAATTCTAAGTTTGACATAATGTTGAAATTTAATGTTAGGAGATTGTTAAACAATTTGAAGGTGGAAATTCAGTGCTTTCTTGATGACAGTGAGTGCAATCATACTGAAATTATTGTTCTTAGGAGGTTATGCTCTTCAGTTTAATCCGTTACACACTGTGGTGTAATAATAATTTATAAGGGGTGGTTGACATACTTTTAATCATATTATTCATGATGTGTTGATCATGTTGTTAATAATTTTTTTTCAGGGTCGTCTTGTTAATCTGAGCTGTTCTAGTGTACCTTCTTTTGTAGTTTCCATTACGTCCACAACTCAGGTGATTTTTAGTTGGTAAAATGTTGCCCCTTTTGTGTTACTTTCACTATAAAGAAGTAAAACTGTTAAAGCACTTTCTTGAAACTGCTTTAATTTGTGAAAGCCTTTTTGAATTTGGTTGAGAAATGTAGCTTGATGAGCATATTAAATTTTGGGATGTGTGCTTTGCAAGTCTAAAGCAGGATTATAATATTATTGGTGGTGTTTTCAACTAAGTTGAACATTTACAGCTGTAGCAGTTTGTTTCATAATCTTTGTTAAAAAGTCACAGTAGCATGACTGTTCATAGTCACAAAAACAGACCTACAACAGTCTGTAACTTGTACCAACCCACTGCAATGTTTTGTTTGTTATTTTTTTGAAGGCAATAGCATTAATTGAACTTTACAAGGCACCTCCCGGTAGATATAAGCATGATGTTTATCTCTTGCCAAAGAAGATGGGTAAGTATATCACCTCAACTTCTTTTTGCTGTTAGAGTGTTTTCCAGGTGCTAGGTAGTGTCGTGACCAGTCAGTCAGGGAGAGAGACAGACAGACAGAAAGACAGTCAAATATTCTGTTTATCTGTCAGTCAATCTTCCAATGGTCATTCTGGTGTAGAAAAATAACATACAGTCAGTCATTCAATCGTTCAGTCTGTCAGTCAGTCAGTCCATCCATCAAACAATCAATCAATCAATCAATCAGTCAGTCAGTCAGTCAGTCAGTCAGTCAATCAATCTATCAGCCAGTCAGGTGAAGCAGTAAGTCTTTTAACAGATAGTCAGTCATTAAATCCCCACATAAAACAATCATTTAGTCCATCTTCTAAGTTCAGCCAGTTGGCTATTCAAGATTCGTTTTTGTCAACTAGCCTTCCAGAACAAGGATCATTCTCTTCTTTTATACAAATACATGGTGAGGTGGCCTGTCAAGTGGGAGGTACAGTCAAACAGTCAGTCACTGACCGGTCGATCTTCCAGTAGTAACAAGCAGTTGCTTATTGATCTTTAGACAAGGAAAACAATATTTGAACTTTCTTTTTTAGATGAATATGTAGCAATGTTGCACTTGCCAACATTTGATGGCCATTTGACTGAGCTAACAGAAGAACAAGCAAAGTATCTTGGAGTGAACAAAAATGGCCCATTCAAGCCCAATTATTACAGGTTGGTTTTCTGTACAATTGTGTTTAACCCTATCCACATACAAATTCTCCAAACTGATCTCCATACATTTCCTTTAAGAATTAGTTGGGAGAATTCAATAAAACATCAAGGCATTTTCTCTTTCGTGATCATTTTTTATATTCTCACAACCTTATCTTTTGAGTTTGGGTTAATAGGAAAACAAATTGTTTATTTATAGTGATCATTGCCATTATTCTCATGAAGTCCTCTAGTGTTTTTGATGAGATAGTAATATTTTTAAGAGAAACGACATGCTTGTAACTATTACAGTCAAGCCAGGTCAAGCGTACCCCCCAAGATCCCATCAATGAATTTATTATTTGAAAGTTGAATCCATTGGTAGTTGTAGATTTCAGATTCATCTCTGCATTCTTGCATGCGTCGTGAGCTGTGAAGTGACATGCAATGCAGGACTTTACAAAATTTCTACCAGCTCTGTTTCCCTGAATTTGATAATGTCTTGTAAGAAATTTAATCCATTCAAAGACTTTTAATATGACCAAATACAGAAATGTTCTCGTAAAATTTTCACTGCTCGTTATGCATGGAGGAATGCTGATTTGAATTTGACACCAGTTACAGGAACAACTAACCGATTCATTCAATTAATTTTTCATAAATAGAATCTTGGATGGTATACCCTTGACCTGCCTTGACTGTAAGGCTTAATACCCTTATATTATAAGGAAACTATGGTTTTATTAACATGAAGAAGTTTTGATTTTATAGTCTACCATTTCTGATGTTGTTACAGTTATTGCAGATGGAGTCCTTTGTGGTACTTGAAACAGATCATGTCTCTAAAACTTATGAGTGAAACATTGGTAGAATTTCAACTCTTTAGTTGAATACAATACACCTTCCCATATAACTATAAAATGCAGCTGCAACCAGAAATGTGTGAAATTCATTCAACGTTAATTGTAACAAATTAAATAATTTTAATTATATTATAATAGTTTTTATGTATTTTGGATACATTTTATATTTTTCTCCCTCATTGTCTCTAAGAAGTAAGACCTTGCAGATAAGTTTTTATTTTTCTTTTAATATCGATTTTACTGACTGAATTTTTATTTATTTTCAGATACTAATGGTGTGGGACTGGATCCACAAAAACCAACAATAATGCTTGTAAATTCTGGAACATTTTTAAATTCCTATTTATGAAATAAGGCTCCATATTTTGCCACATATTTGGCCTTAGAGCAATCCACTGTGCACTTAGCTTCTTATGATATTATCCAATGACGTAACACACTGCTGTTTTCAGCATTTTACAGGACATAATTATAATAATAGCTTAGTTTAGTTTAGTTCCAGTAGTGCATTTTTCTTAATTTTCAACCTTTTCATGTACACCTATGAAAACAGTGCTTGATTTACAGTGTAAGTTACATGTAGAGGGTTGTATAAACTTATTATTTTTTGTCTGTGGATGAAATCCTAGGGTATGACCATCTGGGTAGTTCTTTTTTGTGGTTTTAAATTTTATTTACCAAATCGGAAGCGAATTGTGAAGGTAATTCACTAGTTAATGGGAAAAAAGTAAGTTCTTTGCTGCCACTGCTTGGCAACAATAGTGCAAGTAATGTTAACTAAGTATTGCTTGTGTGGATGATGAGTAGAACCTTGAAAATAGTGATGCCACCTCAGAAACTTGTCATGACAAGTCATTGCCAGTCTTAAGTCTCAAGTCTCAGGTTTTCAAACAATGGTGTGGATATCCCAGCGGGCCATTTGTATGTTATACGCAATACCAAACCATTTCATAACATGTGCTAGAACTTGTCGACTTATTTGAGGTAAAAACTGTGAGTAAGACGTAAGAACAAAATTAATCTGACAGGCGAATGGAAATTACTCCAGAATTTGTGAGGTAATTAAATCATTTGGCTTGGTGTAAAATATTTTTTTGGTTAGGACTATGTACAGCCTTAGGTTAGAAGAGGTCGCAATAATAATTACAATGTCTTTGCGTTGACATTCAGAGAGCTTGATTTGTAATTTAGGGATTAAATTTTTCAAAGTCACTTCTGTGCACTGTGAATTAGTTGCTGTGCCAGCCATTTTGCATTCTAAGAAAAAAAAGGCAAGCAATTGATCTGTACTGTGATATTTCTTGGTGACTTTTCATTCTTGTATTGAACAAGATGCCGTAGGTTAGGTTGTTTTTGTTTTCTTGATAATGACACAAACTTGGTGATTGTAAAAAACAGTTCCCGCACAGACACATCTATTTTTCAAAGTCGTCATATGATAATTATTTTGGTTCTATAGTTGTGATGTTGTTCATTTCTAGTTTTTCCCAAGTGTATCTGGCTTATGCTGTGTTCATTCTAAATACTTTTATTAGCAAATAGTGTTGCTAATGTCTGAGTCAAGACATTTAAGAAATAAATTCCCTGCAAACATGTTGGCCACTCATTGATGTATGCCAATATGAAATACTGAGATATTCAAGCATGCCCATCTTAAGTGTACCCTGCAAGCAAAGTTTTCTCTCTTGCATGGCTTGTAGTGTTAACAAAGTCATTCACGTGGCCATGCAGGAGAGTAACCTCTGCTCACAGGGTAATCTTAGTGAACACATTTTACAACAAACAAACATCGGCCTCTTGGTTGGAAAGAGGGTGAAGAAGGCATACCCCCAAAATAAGAATAATGACCTTGTGTTTAGTTTGGGGGCTTTTTCTGACATGAATTTCTTCAAATTGTGACTCACAGGACAATTAAAATTGATTTAAAACAAAGATATATTTTTCAATTGTTTTTATTTTCATATTAAACTGTAGGTATCATCTCCTTTGACATCTGCAGTTTTCCTCCCTGCAATGTGATGTTGCAGCCACTAAAGAAAGTTTTTGAGATGAGCCTTTTGATGAAAGTCAGTAGTATCACAGCCAATATTACCCCCTCCCTTTCTCATTTAGAGAATTGTAAATCGAAGGATCGGTAACATCACAACACGGTGATTTAATAGTAAGGTTACAGCCTGAAGAATTAGCCAAAACTGTCAAAGTACTAACTGAATTTCTCACTTTCCTCCACTTCATTGAGTAGTCAGTTTAGTTCCTTCAATAATTTAATAAATTACTGGCGCTTCACAAACAGAGTTCCAAAAAGTTTATTTCCTTTAGTAAAAAGTCAACTACAGTAAAACCTCTTAAATCATGGCCACCTAAGTATGGATCCAAGTGCCCACACTTCCAAAGGTGTCTGTGTTAGAGTGGTAGGGATTGCATGATATTTGGTATCCTCAGGACCAAGAGAATTGTCCATAAAAGGGAGGTGTCCATATTATGGATGGGGAATATATGAAGTTGATTAGGACAATGAAGAGAACTGTGGGTAGTATCTTGGTGTTGCAGACAGGTGCAATCTCCAAAAACACGGAGATAACACTGAACAGTACCCCCACCAGGGGCGGATCTAGGGGGAGGGCGTAGGGGGTGCACACCTCCCCTGAGATGATGACGAAATGACACATTACTTTTACAGCATTGCATTAACACTGTGCAGTCTGCTTCACAGTTATACAAAATCTGCTGTATCATTTGCCATGTATTCTCAGCAGTTCACATATTTGCTTTTAAAATTTGGTTACATCACCATTTCTTAGTTGTCCACCCCCTCCTAAGAAAAATCCTGGATCCACCCCTGCACACCACAAAACAAAAGCGACCTAACAATGGTTTCTGCAACACCAAGAAACATCTTAAGTGTCTGTAACAGCGATTGTCTGTGAATAGTTACAGCGCAGCGTGCAAAGACAGTAGTGTCCGATAGGCCAGGGCTAGTGGCTTCAGGCTAGTTCATTCTGAGTGAAGGTCTTTGGGAAATTCACTTACAGATGAACTTTGATCAATCCTGCTAATCAAATTTTTTTTCGGGCTTGTTGAAAAGACTTTTGGGCCACATGCTAGCTACTGCTTGCCCCACTTGCAAGCTACAAGACTGACTTTCTTTGCACCCTGTTGAGGTATTTGCAAGGAGAGGTTAAAGTAAAGAACTCTGCTTTTGTTTTTTTGGAAACACAGCTGTCACAATACCATGTGCGATTGTAAATGGGAGCTTCTTTTTATAATAACCTTAAGTAATGACAGTATGATTAAAGGATGTGAACTAAGCAGTGATGAATTTTAACACAGGTTTCCAAAGTAAAGTTGAAGTGTAATAATAATTAATTAATGGAAACCACTGCTTGTAAAACCAATTAATACTAAATAAAGATTTTTCATGTTAAAAGCCTACAATAATAGACATTATTTTCACCCACTTGTGCTGTTATTAAACCTTGGTTACCTACAAGCGGATTTCTAGATATATCCGATGCTTAGATTTGATTTTGGGTTGAGGTAAACACTTTTCAAACTGGCAAAAGTAGTGTCCAGGTCAGCATGGTCCCATACCCGACAGTGCCCCTTTAACTTTTTTTCCTGTTGTTCTGTGATGTAATAATTTAAGCATGAGAGACAGTGTTTCATCTGGTGATGAAACACTGTGTCAAATGCTTGATGTTGCTTCTCAAACAAAATGATTTTAGAAGGAGAAATTAAGGATGCAAAAATGAGCAGTTTTTCATCTGATTAATTTTATGAGTTTGTGAAATTAATGGATTGTATTGTTTTTGTGATCATCCTCATCACTGTTGTTATTCACCTTTTCGTCTGTCTTATGTTGCTGATTCAAGGCCATGCTCCTTGGCACAATTTAACCATAACCAGGCCTTGGTACTCGGGAGCCCAACTCCCATGTAGTTAACTCAAAATGAATCATTAGGGTCACTAAGAAACTTCACTGCATCTCCAAAGCTGTGCTTTAAGAACAAAAAAGGACCCCAATGCTCTCAGCCCAGGGTACCCAGCATGGGATTTCCATTGAAAAACAATGCTTTCCTAATTCCCCAGGGGGAGGGGGGATACTGCCATAATATGGGCTTTACAGGTATGTGCAGCCATGAAGGGTATGGTTTTCAAGCAGTTTACTCTGGGATAGGTTATATAAATCAGAGAGTTTGGGTCTAGAACAGGGTATCATTTTTCAGGAAACTGATCAATTGGTTGAAGATTTACGTCACTGAAGTTTAGGGATTAGTGTTAGGAAACTGAGTGAATCAAGTTTCAGGTCAGTTTTCCCAGTATAAGGACTCTAAATGGAACCTGATTCACTCAGTTTACTAACCCTAATCACTTAACCTCAGTGGCCTTGTCCATTTTAGGGTAGTCCATGGACTGGGGTCAGTGTTTTATCCACCACCGCCTGTCCATGCCTATTAAGCAAGTGAGCTTAAAAAGTAGCCTGCACAAAAGATATTATTTGGGGAACCAGCGAGACATGCAACAAGAGGCAACTCCAAAAATCCTCCCGAGTGCCCCCAAAGGCTACAGAATGTTCTTTTCCGAGACTAACAAAAAGGACATTTTTCAAACCCTCCCGCATGACCCTAATATCAACAAGCCTGGTCTCTATACACTGTTCCCAATCTCCACACCTTTCCTTTGATACTGATGAGGACAATTTCTTCAATAATCAAGGCCTTGTTTATTTGTGGTTCATTTCCCTTCTTCACACAATCATTATGATTTCTTGAGAATTAGTTACTGTGAGGAGAAGTTAGATTTTGGTCACTCTAAGTGGTTAAAGGGTTAAAAGAATAGCCTAGACATGACTCAACTAAATGCAGTCAGATACTAAAATGTTTCTCCAATAACGCTTAATTATCTTCATGATTTCCAGCAACTCCAAAAAGACCACATAATTTAGATTTCTGGTTTTGATACTAAAAGCTATAGCCTTACATAAATTCACTGTGGAAGGTCTTAAAATGTACTTGAACCCGCAAGCTTTCAAAAGCACCTACAGGTTGTAAGATGGGGTTACAAGACTGTTAGCAATACCACTTTGATTGTTTCACATCAGCAACTAGTTGGAAGGAAAATAAATTTGTTGACTGAATCAGAGAAACTCACTATGTTATGTTTTAGAACATGATTTAAATAAATTTCAGAATTCACCAAACCTTTTAAACTAATAATTTATTATTTCCATCCTGGCGTTTTTAAATAGTTTTCATGCAAATAACAACAACCTGAAGTGGATTTGCAACCCCAAAATAAAAAGATTAATAACTGATTTTTCTCATTACAAATGCACTAATCCCAGACAGTAGTTAAAGCTTAAGCAAACAGAATGCTCACATTCCAGATGTCACAAATAGCAACCAGAAGTTTGGTGTTTCATTTGGCTTTGTGAGAAGACTTCTGATAGAAACAACAGGTTAACAAGCATTCGATTGTTTTAACCCCTGTATCAAATCAGAGCACTCCACACCTTTAAGTCCCAATGGTGCCCAATATCAATATCATCTCCTAACAACATCAATACAAAGTCAACAGAAAAGATTACTAGAATTAATGAATGATTACCAAGAGAAAATACTTTGGATCGTTTTATCAAATTCTCTCCAATAATTCTTTAAGGAAATGCATGGAGATCATTCTGGAGAATTTTAATGCAGATATTGGTGCTTGAAGGGTTAAAAGACAGAAAAGGTCACCTTCTGGCAGTTATTTTGGACAATTAGAAGGTCAACATTTTGTTGCTCATACATGTAGTTGCTATTAATGGGTCCAGAAATTGTTGTAAGGGGGTTTGGGGTGGGGTTCTCTGGTTGAAATGAGGTATTCTGGCACCTTAGCTATCAGTGCTGGCCTGAGCAAATAGGGGCAGGGAAGGTGGCTGTTCCCCTTCCCTAGATCTGCCACTGCCTGGAGTTCTTTGAAATAGCCAACAAATTATCTAGTTTGAACAAAGATGATAGCACTCTATAGTTTGAGAAGAGTTTACAACCACATGTTGTCAAGATTGGCTACACGGTCAAGTACAACCAAAACTGGGATGGACGAACTGGTATTTGTGTCACTGGCATTTGCTACAGTTAATGCAACCTTCTGTAAATATTATAAACAAAGGCATAGAAGGCTACCGGTAGTTTACTCCTAGTTTTAGGAAACTCAATGCATCTGGAAGTACTGCTGTCTATGAAGACAAACTTTTTTCAAACTATAGAGAAAACTCAGCAGTGCCCAGTGGAGCATTTTCCAGCTCTTAAAAGAATATCTGGTATCAATAATACCTCATCTACTTAAATTTTGTTCACTGAGCAAGACTGTGCCCCAGCAGCACTCGGTGGCCAAGGTACCTAACTTTTGCTCCATGGTGCCTAGAAAATCTTAGTTAATTCAAAGAGCACGGCCTTGCCCATTGCTTTCCTATGCATGGAGCTCCTCTGTTCTGTTATTTACAATACTATTTGTACATCAACATGGGCATTTCATCAGTTCAAGACATGGGATCTGGGGCATTTTCTAGTGTCACTACCTCCACTGCTTGGGTGGCAACTGGCACACCCTCGCATGTGTCAGCCATGTGCGTGTGGACCTCATGTCCTCCCATTGCCGAAGTTGTTACTGTCTGAATTATTGAATGTGGTGCCATGGCTACTTGAGGTACTGATGCTGACATGTACTGAGCGTGGGTACTTACTGGTAGATGATGTGTTTGAATCTGCATAAGGGACGCAGCTGCCTGGACTGGAATGGTCACCATGTTTGAAGAATTTATGTTGTCTGGAACATTTGCTAAAGCTGCTGCTGCAGCAGCTGCATGCTCTGGCAAAACAATTTGTCCTCCATCTGCTAATGTCGCTTCCGCAAGAGTGGCTACTGCTGCTTGTGCAATTGCCTCAGTATGTGACAAATCACTTTGGTCAATGGAAACACCATCACTCTGTCCTGGATGGGACAGGGTAACCTCAACTTGAGTTGCTGCTGCAACTTCTGCTAATGTTGCCACAGCTTGTGTTGCCTCAGTTTGTGAGGTCGCTGCATCTGACAATGTACTCACAGCACCTGAGGCATCCACTTGAATGAGAGACACAGTTCCATCTGCATTAGAAATTGTATGGACCATTTGATGGGGTGTTTGGACATACTGGTGCTGGGGTGCATCTCCTTCAGTGAATGCAGGTAGCAGGTCTTCTCTCCCATGGAATTTGTAGCAGTTCTTTACGATTTGCCTCAATGCATTTGTCCACGAAATCCTTGCTTTTTCATCTTCACTGCGGCAATCACTGCGCACGTTTTGCCAAGGCAGGTCAGACGGCCACCAAGCTGGTCTCGTAGAATCCTTTCCCCATCCTGGCTTCCCGCGACCAGTGGAATACCGCAACATCATTGGAATGAACGCTCGCAGTTGGGCTTGTGTCATTTTGTCCACAGGAGTGGGTATACCATCAATGACCAGAGGAGGAAGTGTGTAGGTATCTGGGTTTTCTGGGGGTGGTGGTGGAGCGTGTTCAGCTAATGCATGCTCTAAATCCTGAAGTACAAGCTGCTTGAGGTTCCTTACCACATTTTCTAGTGGTACAGCCCCAAACACCTTGAAAAGTGGATTTGGCTTGCCAGGACACACACACAAAACAACAGCTTGTTGACCTACTCTTGTTGTATATTCATCAATAGTGGCTCTTAACTTCCGGAGAAGACGAGTTTGCTGCCGCTTACGAATAGAAGGGTTCGTTTCAAAAGAATGCGGTCTTTTCCGTTTCTTCCCTGTAGCAATGGCGGCGGCGGCAGCTACCCCAACGGGCCCGGCGGCCGCTAGCTGCGCGGTGACTTCATCGCTGACTGTGGAATTCAGCAGGTCCGAGCCATCGAAGGTTGTTGACTCAGGCGATGAGGGTTCATCGTCCGACATTTGACTCATCGATTGAGACATAGAATGTGAAATCTGGATCGTCTGCGACATGTTCTGAGGCAGCGCTTGGGATAACCCCACCTGGTGAAGGCTGACTTGCGCCAGTTTGCTGTCAAAAAGCCAAGAAAAAAACAGTCAAAACCAAAACGAAAACACAACATCACCAGTTCTTTGGTGCCTGTTCATGCAATTTTCAAGCTATGAATATGAAATTCGCTTAAAAAGTCTCGCCTCAGAGGAAGTTTTTCAGCGCAAAGACACCGAAGAAAATCAACAAAAAAGCCCAGCTAAAATCCGCTGAGTTCCCTCTGATCGAATTGCACCGTCGACTCGATCAAGGCGAAGCAAACGGCGTTTAAATTCCAAAATTTCCACCTTTTCGTTTGGCAAAGTCGTTCACGGGTTAGATTAGTGACGGGTTGAATACTTACGCTGGTAGACGGCAAAAAATGTTCCATTGCCGTTCAAACAAGACCAAAACCTTACAAAAACACACTCAACGATACCTGGTTTGACGGTCAGGATCAAAATAACTCGGCAAAAGTTCTGAATCTGCGCAAAGAAGCTCTCTCTGTCCGACTTGCGCGGAAAAGAGAACGCGATGGCGGCTGCTCAATAGAACAAACTGGCGTAGGGCTGCCACGCATGTGCTAACTAGCTGTGGGGCGTCCCGGTTTGTTCGTCCTCGCAGGGGTAAGAGCAATCTAAGAAACTTTACGATTGGCCAATTATTCCTTCCTTATTTATAAGAAAAAAATTAATTGGCTGTTTGCGTTTCCACGAAAGCTTGGCGTGGCAGCACCTGTTCTTCTTTGACCTCATGTACCTGCAATTTTTTTTTCTTTCTTTGAATTCAAGAAAAAAAAATATCATGTTAATTTTTTACTGCATAAAGGAGCAGATGTAGGTCAACAAAGAATTCCTGAAAATTAACATGTCTTCATTATATTCACACAATCATGACCATAGATATTCATTATCCTTTCAAATACTTTCATGTACTTTTTGTTTGTTTTAGTTTGGCTTAAATGTTTTCTTTTTATTTTGTGGTACAGTGGTTTTGCATCTAAAATTTGCTATGTATTCAATTTGTTTGACAGCCCATTTAGAGTTTGAGAACTGAAAACACATTCCGTCTTTTGTCTTTTGTTTCTTCATTAACTAGGACCCCCTGAACTTCGGAGAAGGTGAGCTGGGCAAACTTGTTCCAGAGGTATTAGTTCGAGGCCAGAGGTATTAGTTCGAGGTCTTCCTAAGCTTAAACCATCTACTTTTACATAAAAATTGCCGAGGGGCTAAGCCGACTCTTCATGGGCGATTTGCTTTTTATTTTGTTTGTTTGGTTTTTGGTTATAGCCAAGCAGGGCATCTTGGCTGAGAGTGAGACTGTCTCTTTTGCAGTACATTCCAACATCAGCCTACACCACCCCCTCAAAATCTCAAAATCTCTCAAGAAACCGCTTTTGAGGCAAAAGGACGACTATATCCCACAGGTAAGGTAATTCAACGTTTATTTATCATTGATTTATATACATGGTTAGCGATATATCGCTATAGGTGAAGCAAACGTTAAATCCAGTACATTTCAGTATAAAATAACAATCGGCTACACAAACACATAGTGTGGGAGCCCTGTGCTCAGTTCCCAAACCCCTGCCCCACAAGGCTAAAGGGTGCGGCTGCAAGCCGGATTATGAAGTCTTACACGACTTACAGACCATCAAAATTTTTTGACAAGCTACAGTAGACTTGTTAGTAATGAAATACGTGAAAAAATGGCACAGAAACAGATGAACGAAAAAGTGTTGAATGTTTTGGGAGAAGGGCTAAATTCCAAACTGCTCAAAATTCAATTTTGACCGGGAGGCTTGGTGACCAGTACGGGAGACCGGCCGAAGATTTCTCCTGTACCTGAGAAGCACCCGGATAATTGGGCTCGAGAACCAAATCAGTTGGAACATCTAGGCCTGCAGACATTTTTCAGAAAGAAATATCTCAAATACTGTCTTGGAGTCTTTTTGAACCTATACCTTGGAGGACTTTTGATACAACATTGCAGCCATGGGTTAAGGTAAGGTGCCTGTAGTGCAATTTTTCTCCCAGGGAGTGGGCCCTGTTATAACGAGATTTTGTATGGAATAATTAAAAGCTTTCTCTTTATCTCAAGCTCAAGAAACTGCCTCAGTTCATTGTAGTCTAAAAAAGTGCTGATTTTATTTTGCTGTATGACATCTGCTTGAATACCATAATGTCCCCCAACCAGACCCTAAAGGCCCTGGGGAAACCGGGTTTCTGAAACATATTTGGAGAGAGCTTATAGTGGACTGCTTAAAGTCCCCCACTATCTTTCCAGGTTATAGTAGAGAGGAACTGCCTAGCCTGTTCCAGGCTCTCAGATAGTGGGTATGACACCTTAGTGAAATGAGTGCGTGATCTGCCCCTGGGGAAAGGGGGCGGTGGCACCCTTCATCTCCCCAGTTTCCTCCCGTTGTAGTTTTGTTTTCGCACTTTCTCAATTTTGTGAACCCAACTATCTTGGAGCCTGGAACAGGCTAATAACCGCTGAGTTTGAAAGGGTGCCATCTTTTCCTTCACAAGCTGCATGAATGCAAATTTGGCTGTTTAGTGGCACCTCCCACAGATTCATCCCCAGGGAAGTATTTTACTCTTACCAGTTGAAAATCTAGAAAGCAGCCTCTCAAATGTTTCAGTCAACAATGATGTCACTATGGAAAGAGGGGACTCAGGATGGTCTACCCTGTTATTCAATAAATGTATATTGCAATATAGATATTCAATAAATCTATATTGCAATATAGAGGCCACAGATTTCCAACCTGAGTGAAAGACAACTGGCACTGATGAACATTAAATTTAGAGAACACTTTTATGATGTCGTGCACTTTTTTTAATGACATTTTTTAAAGAGTTCTTTTGTAATATCTGTAACATAAAAAACAGGTCAAATTGGCTGGGGCTTGTACTTGGAAAATAAAACAAAGTTAAAACATTGTGTACAAGGCAGTGGATTTTGAAACGCAAATTTCCCTCCGTAGATAAAGAAATATAAGCCCCTCCAAAAATAAGCCCCTCAACAGTTTTGAAAAATACAATTCCAGTGATATTAAAGAAATCCACAGTTTTAATACAATTCCAGTGATCTCATGTACATGCACACTTGATTAAAAAAAATTAACAACATCAACAAAAAGCAGTGCATTTTGACAAAATATGCTTTAACCATTTCTAGGCAATGATATTCAATGCTAATACACTCTTCAACCAAAAAAACAAGTGGAAATGTCAACATTTAAAAACATTTAGAGGCAGATCAGGGTGCAGGGGGTCCATAACTGATTCCTTTTCTTGCTCATAGATATCTGCCCCTTCTTTGTCCTGTACCAAAGAATAAATCCGCCAATCAACTTTTTCATAGTCTGCCCTACCAACACAATCAAAATCTAAGGGGAGGTCACCCTGTGAGATGGTATTGGGATACTTGCCTTTTCCCTGTAACTTACATGTGCATGTCACCCCCTTTTAAAACAGTTTTAGATCTGCCCCTTAATTATAATTGCATAATTTAAGTTAGTGGAAACAAGGGAGAGATTTCTGCACAACCTCAAACATATTAGGGACACTGCAAGTCGGATGCAGGCAGGCCAACATGTTTGCATAGTTAAATACAAGGAAAATGATTTCCAGATGTGATTATTGCTTCACTGTTCTAGCCATTTTCATGTGATAAGAGACAATCTACCCATATTTATGGGCTATAGGTATGGGTAATTTACCCATCATGCCTGGTAAAACAGAAATGGTCTCAATATAATTATGTACTTTGAATGCATTGTTCCAGATCTGATCTGTGTCAAATAGTATGAAATGCTGCATGCGTGCATAATAAAAAAGTGGTGCAAAAATCTCACTGCAACAAGGACTGGAAACAGAAACTAAGGGCCTGTTTAAATGGAGGTGGGGGACCCCAGGTAGGTGAGGTAAAGAGCTTAGGTGAGGTAACCCACCTGTCTATATAATCTCTCATTTTAATTTTATCACGTTTACATGATAGATGGGGTGACCCGGCACATGTTACCTCACCTACCTGGGATCCCCCACCTCCATGTAAACAGGCCCTAAAAGAGACTGAATATAATTTAGCTGGTTTCGCAATTGATTTTCCATGATGTGATGTCTCTTTGACACTTATCTGCCAGGATGGGTCCACCATATCTTGAATTCTTACATTTATATGTTAAACCCAACAAAACTGATTCGATTTGTCTCGGAAAAAGAGTTAAATCACTGCTGGAGAATCCTTGGGGAGCGATCAAAACAACCAGCGGCTTGATCATTAGTTAAGTTACAAAACGATGCGTTTCTTTTATGTATTGGTTATTTCTTCTTTTTTCCTTTGCCCTTCTTTTTCTTCTTTCCTTTCGTTCCTCCTGTGTCCCATCCAAATCCTCTAAACTCCAAAAACTGCGGCACATTATGAGAGATGTAATAGCCATTCGACATTGCGTCGGGGCTCAGCAAGTCCACTTCTCTCTTCGTTTTGGTCGGTGATGGAGAACGCGATTTTTTCCCACTCTTCTTTCCACCTTTTCTCGATGGGCTTCTACTGCTTCCTCTGCTTCTACTCCTGCTTTTACCAGATTTTCTCACTTTACCAGACTTGTGTCCTGCCGGCTGTGATAATCAAAAACACCACACGCGAGTTGTTACAACACAACAGCGAAAAGTAAACAAAGCTGCTGGAAAGCCATTGAAATGCGGTACACCATTCTGGCGCTGCGTGCTTGTTTGAAAATCGTTCATACTCACCATTTTGAAGGGAAAAAAACGCCGGCTCTCGAGCCGGTAAAGGGCGGTACGTTAATCCCAAACCTGTCCCGAACACTCTCAACTTTGAAGTTACCTCATGACCGATTGATTGTTCTTCTGATGATCGCTTGCCCGTTTCGAAGGAATGCAAATAAATCCGGACGTCAATGCATGGGATGGTTACATTCTGTCACCATACCAACCATATTCAAATGAGCCACTGGGTCCCGTAGACTTTTTTTACATCAAACAAAGCTTTAACTAATACGATATATTTATAGATTTTCAGGCAAATAATTTTATAAATACTTCCACTTCAATGGTAGTGAAATCGCGATTCACAGTCTTTGCAGCCGTTTTATGTTTTGTAACGCAATGCTCCTCGTTCAGAGTAGCGTTGCGTGACGACGCAAAAAATGGGCTGCGAGGTGAATTCGGAAACTTTCCATGCTTCTGCCTGTCGACCTGCGCCCGACACCGAAGTATCCCACCACATGCGGAAAAAAAGGTGGTACCCAGGGTAGAGAATTTGCAGATTGCAATTCAGTATTTCCTCACAGAGGGTGGGGAGGTGTGGTAGCAAAAGGACCGCCACATCCCACCCCCTTCTGTAGAAAGCTGTCCGTCAGTTGGATGAGAGCAGTCCAAAATATCAGGCTTTTCTAGGATAAAGAGGATTTCAGGGGGTCAGCGCGGAAGGGCCTCCGAGAATGGGGCAATTCAGCTGTAAAATGTTTTGCAGTTTATAAAAAGCTCCTGGCAACTGAGGAGGGAGACTTTCTGGTACAAAAAATGCTCTTTAGACAACATCAACCTCCGAGTATTTCTTCTCAAATGCCTTGTTACCAAACAAACCGTAGGCTGGCTGAGATGCCAAAATTCTAATTGAAAATCTCAGATCTGAGGCTCGGAGATTGAAAGAAACGCAAAAATATTTAGACTGCTATTTACTCATTTCTTTTCTCTGAAATATCAGTCACTAAAGCTGCTCCCCCATAATGAAAGACAAAAAAGAAATAGGCTTTAAATAAGAAAAGCAACAACTTTGCACATACAGGGGCGTAGCCAGCTTTTCAACTAGTTGTAGGCCTGGTTGACTTTTATTTCCACATATACTAAAAATTACCCTGCAAGCAGAGGTTTCTCTCTTGCAAGTCGTTTGCATGGCCCGTCTGTCGCGTAGTTGGTTTATTTACTCCCTTGTGAGAAACCTCTGCAGTAAGCAGCTCGTGATTTCCGTCAAGCATGTGCCAGATTAATAATTCGTTGCTACAGAGCCAACTTGGTCCAACTAGTGCATATACACAAGGTTGAAACCAACACTTTCCATTCTTTTATGATGGCTTTATGCATTAGTTTCCTCAGAGTATGCCCTGCTATCATGATACGCTTGTTCACAATATTATTGACATGTGACATTCTTCTACTAGTCTGAAATGTCATCCGCCTCTTCACCCTACCCCCAACAGGCGGCAACCCAGACTAACAGTCTCCTTGTATAGGACCCAGCACTAAAAAATGTTTCTCAAGTGTTGTTATAAGAGACAGAATAATTTCCTCCAGATTTCATTGATTTGAGCAAGAAGCCAATGGCAAAAAAGCAGACTGCACAGCCTCTGCAATATATTTTCCTGTTTCAAAGTACAAAAAGAAATTGCCCTATGCATCTCTAGGGTTGTAAAAATTAGTTTGATCCCACTGGAGTTAATTGAAGTACTTTAAAAAATCCAGTGGTCTCATGGGTAGGGGGCGGGAGGGGGTCCAGACCTCCTCCTCACCTCTGACACTTATCTACTACTGAAACTTCTAAGAAAAACCCGACTGCACATGACTCATCCTAGACACTTTTGGGATTGGATGAAAATTTCCATGACAGCTGGAGAGCTTGCTCGCGGGCTATTCAGCCATTTGTATCTTTTACTATCTCTTTTTCCCTTTTCTTGAATCTTTCTTAGATTTAAGTCTTTTCTTTTTTTTCTGCAAAGTGATTGTTTTCTCTTTCGTTATTTCTTCAATGACTGGCTTAATACTGCCATTTGCTGTCTTTCTAATAACAAAGTTTTCCTCTGTGAGAGGTCCATAGTCCATTTCCTGTGTTTGAATTTCATCAGAATCTCCATCAGAATTCACATCTATGGAATTGCTTTCCTCACAGGAACCTTCACTGCCATCTGCTTGAGTTTCCACCATGGCTAAACTCTATAAATTGAGATAAATGAGGAAAGTTGATAACACATCATGCAATCATTGAATTTAATTTGAACGACTGACAAATTAACCCATGCAACAGAATTCAACAATACTGCGACATATAAAATGAATCAAATATTATTAATCTGAGTAATTTTATCTGTCTTTGCCAGATGGATAAAACATCTACAGAGCATCTCATTTAAGACACCACTCAATGACCCCAATGAATTTATTGAATGCATACATTATGTTAAAGTATATCAAATAAGGTATTATAATTTAGGAAAATTGAGCCGGGAGGCTGCCGTAGCACTAGTTAAATTGCTTCACTGCACAAGGACAGGAGTTTGCCAGGCTCTCGTTGCCAGAGCCCGTCGCTTTGTTTGGTCACGTATTTTGATCAGCACTTCCAGTTATATGCCCCCTGAGATATAAGCCCCCCGAAACCCCTTAAGTAGATGCACGTATAAGCCCAGCAATAATAAGCGGAAGTTTACAGTAATTTTATTTCTCTGTAGATGGGATGCTCAGCCTTGTCCTAAGCCAGAGCACAAGTTTTAGTCCTACCATTTCAATATAAGGACCAGCATCTTCAACATTTTCAATGTCCAGTTCAGAGGGGGATTTTGCTTCAAGTTCTTTCTGAAGTGCTTCTTCAGCTTCCTTTATCTTTGGTAGGAAATCTTTCACTCTTCTCAAAACTGGACCACAGGAGATCAAAGACAATGATTAGTAAGAAATGTGCGACAACAACGCCAAGGACACCTCCATAATAATAGTCAACTCTCTACACCCTGATAATTATACAGACAGGAGATAAATCCCCGGCAAAAACAAATTACAGACATTTGACTGAAATAAGCTTATGCTCTTACGGACTCTCACTAATGAGGACACTAACTCGAGGTCCCTACAGTGTCTGCAATAAATGGAGTTGATCGCAGCCAATGTTATGGAGAGGGTTCCCACAATAAAATATAATTATGTACTGTAGTTCTGTAAAATATCCAATAGATTCTAAGTACCAAGATAGACAGTGGCTGTATGTTGGCACCGTAGGATTCCTTTTTATCAATAAAAACTGTGACCAGGGTCTTAAAATGCTTTTCCACTCTCCCAAATTACTTTCAAATTATGTTGACCTTTTGAAAATGCACATTGCACTCAACAATAATTGTAATAAACTACAACAAATGTTAGTGTTTATTCAGTTTGTCAGTGCATAGACGAGCTTCTCTGCTTAAACACGATGACAAAATCACTCTCAGTGTGCTTATTCAGTGCTGTAGAACTCCATGAAGTTGCCATTTTAGCCTTTTAGAGGTTGTCCTCTTGGGTACGACAATCAAAAACAACAACAAAGACGAAGTTTGCATGTTACCTGAAGGTGGCTCAACCTTAAAAATCTTCGATGGAACTCTACTTTCTGACTTGCTTTCTTTGGTTATGAGAAATTTGGAATTTTCTGCAACAAAAACAAAAAAAACACGCGGTTTAAGCGGACAAACTCTGGATCACGAGCCATTTACTTCTTCAAGATATCAAGGCAACATTACCCGGCCTGAAAGGAATATGCAGGAGTTCGTCTGAATGAGAAACTTGTCGATCTTGTGTTCCATCGCTACAAGACGCCATTTTGAAACACAAGAACACGTGGTTGCATTGTTTATTGCCCAGAATGCACTGCGAATTTTATCAGACTAGCCGGATATGACGTCACGGAACCAGTCTCGAAACAGATGGTTTATATGGTGGTGGAAGAAGATGGCGGTCAGCGACGGGGACGAAATGTTCCTTCAAAGTGAATTTGAAGGTCCTATTTTACCCTGGGATCGCTTCAGAAGATGGATGACTTGCTTTTGCGTTGTAACATTTGATTTAGAGCTTGGACAAGCGTTAGAGGTAGGTTTTATGAAATCATATCGCTTCAATGAATCGAATCGATTAATGTTTGTCGTTCGAGAAGCGCGCGTTTATTTGGTCTGAACACAGCATAATTTATAAGCATGTGGTGATAGTGTTTTTTTGTCTGCTTGTCACAGCTTGTTTACCCGGCACACATCGAACTGACTGATCGCGAGGTGAGCAATTAAACTCGAATCGTTTTATAAGTCAATAGTTAAATGAGGTGTACGGATTTAGAAATTTTAAATTGTCATGTTCATTTCATTTCATACGCAAGCTAAGTACAACACGTTCTGTCCTTTAACGCTATGATGTACGGATGAAATGAACAGTTATTCGCCAGTTCGTTGCCCCCAATCCATTTTCCAATATATCCTAGCTAGCCTTATGTACGTAATTCGTGGCATTTCTTACTGACTAAAAAAAAGTTAGATACAGTAGATATTTGATCCTAATCTTCCTCGGGCTCGAAAAGACAGATCCTTTTACAACAAATTTTCACTCACTGACATTCGACACATTCTGCCTGCTTTTCCTTTCTGTTTCCTTTTTTTATAAGAGAAGTTCCGGCCTGTATCAATTGAATTCTCAATTATCTGTCCCTCATTATCACATGTAAACCCTGTATTTTGTAACCAAGCTTATGCATTTAAATGATGCCAGTATGCTTGTCATCTATGACGGTTCCTTAAAATAGGTGACATTGCCTTATCTATATATTTTAATAGATATCTTGTTTTCTTATAAATTCAAGCAATACACTGAAATAAGTCTGTTGTCTCCAATGCCAGAAGGTCAGGAAATTATTGGGGAAGGGTAGGGGTATACCCAACAACCAGCTTCCTGTTGTTTTAAAAAATGTTTTAAACTGACTGAAAGTACAGTACTTAAGGTTTTGTTTGGTCATAGATAAATGAGCAGAAAAAAGATTTTAACTGAAAAACATTACTTTAGTTATTTTCAATCCTGTCTCAGTTTCTTTGTATAATTTTATACACGTGTGTGTTATCGATCAAGCATGAAGTCAAGATGGTTGGATATCGACCAAGTTTTGTTTGCGTTTTTATTAAGGCAAAGGCACGGTCAATTAAAAATGCAAATGAAGTAAAGAACAAGGCTAATATTCGGCCAACTGGACTAAAATTGAGCTTGGACAATATTCACTGTATCTGTAGGTGCTGCTTTAGCAGACAGTCGACAGTCAGTGGATCAAGGTAAACAACCATCTGCCGGCTGACTCAAAGCAGTTGGGACCATAAATGTTTGCATTTGGTTATTCTACGAACATGATAATCTCAATCCACACAAACTGGTTTCTTGAAAATCATTTTTTTCAGTGCTTTTGGTATCACGCTAATTGAAGAAGTAGATACTGTTTTATACCCATAGCATAATTTGTTACTTTTAACAATAATTGTTGATTAATAAAAAATAGGACTTTTTAATTAAGGTGATAATAGAACTTTCGAGTCTTCAAAAAAGTGCTATATTTTTGGCAGGGGAATGTTATTGATTAAACTTCTGTTCAAGTTGGCTGGATATTGGTCAAGTTCATTTTTTTTGTGCATTTCACTGAGGATACTAAAAGAACTGATACCAATATTCAGTCACCTTGACTAAACAAGCCAGTGGTGGATCGAGGGGAGGGGACCCCCCTTACCCCCTTATTTTTTAGGGTTAGGGTTAGGGTTAGGTTTTTTTGAGACTGCCCCCCCCCCTCCCATCTTAGAGTCTGGATGACCCCTCCCCTCCTTATCTAAAGGTCTGCATCCGCCACTGCAAGCTAACCAAAAAGAGCTATTTTCCTGTACGAAGGCTGGCTTGTGCAGCTTATAAGAATACGTGATTCACTTTATCTCATTGAGCCAACCATTAAAGTTGGCCAAAAATATTTTTCTTTTAAATTTTTGAACTGTGCCAAATATTTTGTGTTTAAAATAATATTGTATCCATAAGCAACTGGCTGATAACCAAAAATTCCAATACTTGTACTAAATACTGTGATCCTATAAGAGGCCATCAAGCAATATACTTGACTTCAACTATTTCATATACTTGTACAATATTTAGATATAGGGTTGTAGAGTTTATGTAGATCAATTTTATGCTTGATTTGAATGTTATTTTCCTATGTTTCAGATTCTTCATGATCATTCATTATATCATATCCAAAAATAATGCAAAATGAAAAATTTTAACCAAAGGACTGTTAAAGCAAAGTGCCCCTTGATCAAAATTGACATGTATTCCTTTAAATTGCCTCTTCTGAGAGTTTCGTTCATGGTTTAAAACTTAGCCCTGCAGGGTAGTATGAGATTTTCTGGGTCTCAATTTTTGCAGATTTTGAGGATTGTTCTAGGCTCGATTTCCGCCGTCTCCCGGGTCCGGTCTTTGATCCTCCCCGAAGAGAGACTCTTTCGGGGGATGAGTGTGGGCTCATTTTCCCGAACAGCAGCTGGTAATCGAGCCTAGGATTGTTCTCCAGCTACAAAAATTACTATCCCAAACAAATTTACTCCCATCAGGAAAAAAGAACTCCACTTTTTAACAGTGTCCATAAATATTGGGGACTTTTTTAATGAAAATCCTGTTAAAAGGTTTCATGATACATTTTTTTCAGAAAACAAGCATTTGTTATCTGGCATTTCCTGATTCAAATTCAGGTATGAAAATACATGTATCAACTCAACTAGTGCCATGTGGATCTTCAACCAAACTGCAATCCAACTGATTATCTTGAAAATACAACATGTTATCACATGTTGTCTTTGGACGCACTGTGCAGTTATAATTCATTTAGTGACCCTTAATTTTCTTATTTTCATTTCAAAATTAAGTGTGACCCAACATCCATCTTTAATTCTTTCTAATACATGTATTTGTAACTGTTTTATTTTATTCACATTTGATTGTGCGTATGGTAGAGATTTTTCTGATTATAATTGATGTTCACTAGTTTGGTTCAATCTGAATTATGCTGAAGATCGATCATAAAATCTCAGCCAATTCCCAACACTTAAATAAACGTAATTATTATTTGAAAGTCACACTACATGTTACATATGTTTAAGGTGAATAATAATGTTACAGTGGAACCCCAATAATACGGTCACCAATGGGCCAAAATAATTTGGCTGTATCAATGGGAGACCGTATTAACAAGGGTTTTTTTCAAGAAAATGTATGGCTGTTTTGCTGGGCAGCCAAAAACAGTGGTGGTAATAATGAGGTGACTTTATTACCGAGGTGGCCGTAAGGTGGGGTTCCACTGTACCACAATATGCTATCTTCTAAGGTTCTTGTAAATATTAGGGAGAATTGTTAACATGTTGATTTTGCATAATTTGTCTCTTGTTGTATTTATTTAATTAACATTTTTTGTTGTAACAGGATGTATGGGGGACACTCAATTTCATTTCCGCATTCGATGTAGCCCTCGCAGTTGCCACAAAAGCCGACTTGTTTCACAATATGAAAATGAAGTTCCTTTGTCATACAGGGTATGTGTAGTGGATCCATACTGTAAGACCACTGTTCCCAGATCATACAGGGCTGTCAAAAAGTTTTTAAGTAGGAGGCTGGTAATGAATAGTAGGCAGCTTTGGAACTCGCACCAAAGGCACGAGTTGTCGAGGGCTGAGGCATCTAGGGACATTTTGAAATTTAGAGTCTCAGAAATGGCATTTTCAGGAGTATTCAAGAGGTATTTTCCACCGCGGACACCATGTTTTTTCGTCAGAATACACTCAAGACTGGGAATAATGCTGGGAATAATGTCTCAGGCATTCCATGACATCACACGGTTTGACCGTTTCATAGATCTAAACCTGTTTAAATGTGCGTTCAATTGCAATGTCATTCAAAACCAGGAAATTAGATGCTTTACAGCTTTATTCGATGGTGCTTATTTTTTGTTAGCAGTTATGGTAGAAAGAGATGAAAGTAGCCGGCTAAGGATGGCTAACTAGCCCCGGTTTGGTCCGGCTACTGGCCCTTATTGACAGCCCTGTCACATGAGAATTTTCGCTTTGGCTTGGCTTCGTGTACATGTATAAAAAATGTGTTACACCACATTATTGGTGCTGATACAAGGGCCCTGCAAAAGTACAGTGTATGAGTCATAGAAAGTGGTCGAATTAAATTGCTGTCTACAAAAAATAATCTCAAATTTTGCAGGTTGTGATACATATACGTATATCAGAATCCCCCAAAAAGCCACTAGATTAAGATTGTGCTGGGATGGATGCAATAACTTGGTATTTATTAAACTTATTTGCAGAGTGATCCTGCGCATTTTTATGGTTTTGCTTATTTCCGTCAAGTGAAAGACCCAAGTATACAAAGAGGTTATTTTCAAAAGGTAATTAATTCAGCTCCCATCAGTTGGGTACTAGTATTCTATGTAGCAGCTTGCTTTGCTACCCACAGTGCCATAATCCACTGGATACATCTTATTCAAACATCCTCTGAGGTAGTTGGTTAAAATAATGGTCAAAAGTAGTTTGTTAAAGACAGTTTTCTGAATTTCTGTTGTTGTTGTATTTCAGTCAGTTGTTCTAATTTCAAGGCTACCTTATGTCAACCTGTTTTCTGAGGTGGTAAGTGTTTTTGTCGATTGTCATTGTTTTCACAAACTTCCTATGTACTTTGAAAAAAATTTTTCATCATTTTATATTATTGAAAACAGCTGCATTGTACTGTTAATCTTTTGTCTCTCATTCACTATCTAATAATAGCATTTTGTTTACAGGTTCAGCTTATAGCACCAAGCTACTTTGAAAATGGGGAACTCAGTTTAGAAACAGGTAGAAGAGGTTTTTCTTTTGTACACTGCATTTCATTGAAATATTTTAAAGCTCAAACCTCCATGTGCTATCCCTTCTTGTGAGTGACTTTGACTCATAAGTAAACACTGTACACTCTATCCAAACTACAAAAATTAGTTTCTCTGGCAAATCCCTATAGTTGTGAATCAATGAAATGGCAAGACGTATGAAGCTGTTTAAACTAGCTGATGTTTCTAGTGAGCAGGTGACCAAAGCGTTTGAACAGTTGACAAATGGCTTGTAAATGGAAAGCCGTTTGTGTACGTTTTCCCTTTGTAAGGTCACAATAAATTTATATATATCTACCTACAGATTCAAAGTTTGTGGTGTTAACGCCTGCTGTAGAACTGCGCCCCACACCTCTTGAAATTTTGGCTGATTAAAGTTTGACTTCATTCATTTTTTCTTTGTTTCTTTATACTTTGAGTTACCTCTCATATTTTATCATGTGTTTATTTACAGTAGAAACGTTTGATCAGATCCTTAACCCTTTAAGCCCCAATATCCACATACAAATTCTCCAAACTGATCTTCATACATCTCTTTAAGAATTAGTTGAGAGAATTTGATAAAAGATCACAGAATTTTCTCTATGATGATCATTTTATTAATTCTCATAACTTTATCTCTTGACAGTGAATGGATACTGTTAGGAGAAAATTGTTGTTGGACAGTATTGGGACTTAAAGGGTTAAAGGAATGCTTTTTGTTCTAATTTCAGTATGTCATGACATTGATCAATGGCCATTCCCTGAGGCAGGTCACACATTACAGTTACCTTTGATGGGCAATGTTATGCAGGTATGACATTATTATATAGATCTTTATGTAGTGAGTGTCAAGCTTGATCCCTGCTAAATTTATAGCTGGTTTAGATTATTCTTTCCGCATTGCCAATGTCGTATCTTCTCAATACTGAATTTTCAGGATTTTTGGTTGTGAAACTCAGGGTGCAAAGAAAGTCAGTTTTACAGCTTGCCATTCCGGCAAGCTGTACCTAGTATGTACTTGCCCGAAAGTCATTTCAACTAGTCTGAAAAAAAAATTGATGAGCAGGATTGATTACAGTTCTTCTGTAATTTGAATTCCCCCCAAAAAGTCAGTCACCGATCGGGCAAGCTACGAACAGAATTCACTAGCCCGATAGCAAAATCCACTAGCCCTAGGTTATCGGACACCACTTTCTTTGCACGCTGCTTTCTACAACTGAAACTGGCTCGAAGGAAACCACACAACTAGTCAACCACATTCTTCTTAGTCACTACTGTGACATAAGTCTACACAAAATGTATCATTTTCACTATGTCATGTAATAAATCAGCATTTTGGTGCTGCCTGTTATATGTCATGTTTGACCAGTCTTGGAAAGGCGTAGGCAACTGTATGTACCTTCTTGTTTCATGATTCTATATATTTTTCAACATGTCTTTGTGATCAGTTTAGTAATAACTTTGTTTATTAATAAATATATTTTTTATTGATGGAAGGTGCGAGTTCCCTCCAGAGGAGACAAACCAGGAGCAGTTTCTTCACCAGACAATCCACTTGTCACTCATATTGTAGTAAGTATTTATTGTTATTTGCTTGTTTGTTTTCTTTTTTGCAGCTACAGCCTTCAGATTGAAAGGTGAAATAGTTTAACAAGATCTTTACTGACTCCACCCTTTTTGCATCCGAGTGTTAACCCTACAAGTCTCAGGCATGACCAACATTAATTCTTTTCTAACAATATCTATGCATCATCAAGTGAACTGGTCATGAGAATTAACAAGGTGATGTTTAAAGGGAAAATGCTTTGATCTTTTAACAAATTCTCTCAGCTATTTTAACGGAATGTATGAAAATTAATCTGAAGAATTTGTCCTTTACATGTATGTGAATATTAGTCCTTCAAGGTTTAACATGAGTTAATACCACTGTCCCATCTTTGGCATGTTGACTGCAGTCAATGACCATAATATTTTACCACATTGGCATATTGACATGAATATATATTTCCTTTTTTCTTACTTTTCAGCCTCAAATGCCTTCACCCAAGGTCATCCCAGCTCTAAAAGATCCAGATATATTTAGGTTTGTAATAAAACTTAGAAATAATGATTTTAACAGAGAATCAGCACACCCCGACAATGCGATTAGTGGCTTCAGTAAATTGCCTGCAAAAAATTAATATCTTTATTGTAGCAGACATAATTATGACTTCAGTAAATTTCTGCTGTAGACATGGATTTCTTTTGTGGATGCTACAATTCTGTTAGTGTCCACAGTAATGGGACGCTGTCTGTATTTGATATTGAAAGTTGTACTTGTATATTTTTTTCTAGGTGTCTTCAGACTGTTCTTCCACACATTCATCTTTTATGGGAATTAGCACTTACCAATGAGGTACTGATTGTGCAGATGTTAAAAAAACATTATAATTATTCACTGTTTCATGTACACTGTAGACATTCATGTTGTTATCCGAGTTTTTGTGACAATGCATGTACGTAAGAAGAAAGTGCTAATAATTTTGAGGAAACCATTTTTGCACCTCAAACTGGAATACATGGTCATCTGAGCCACGTGGAGATGTAGCCATCCGCAGCACAAAGGAAGTACCTTCCTTCCCCTGTTATTTTGGGGCCCTAAATATTGTCCCAGCTCTGGGGATCCAACCTACCAGTCCAGCATGCTAAAACCTTAACGTGGTAGTAGTATTCTTTACAAGGTTGTGGCTGTACTAGTAGTATACATGTATGTATTGCTTCAAATGCTAATAAACTATAGGTGGTTTTCATTCAATCTCGGGAGACAGAACGCACAATGGTGAAATGAACAAATGCTGGTGGACAAACAAAGCGAGCTAATGAGCGATCTTTTGTTTACCGTTCACCAACATGGCGGCGATGACGTGACGTGAAAACCACCTATAATCTTTTTTTGGTAGTGAACAGATTTCTCATTGTAAATTTTTTTGACGTTATATTTTTAGCCCCTTGTTGTGATGGCACCTTCACCTACAATCTGCTCTGAGACCGTCCAAGCTCTTACAAGGTATTTTATAGGGCTTAGATAATTGAAGTACACACGGTTGCTCGAACCAGCTTTTACACACAGAAACTATACTCAAACAATACTTATAAGCAATCAAAATCAAATATGTCGTGATTTAAACCCTACATGGCTAGCATGCGTACTGGTAGCAGGCGCCGGTCTTTTAGGGCGAAAGGAGAAATATCAAGGATACGTGCACACGAGTGGCGAAAGGGAGAGGTTCCTCTTGTGCAGTCTATAAAAAAAAAAAAAAAAAACTAACCAGCGACTGCCACGCGTCAGCTAGGGTGTAAATAGCGGAAACAAACCAGTTGGCCATTTTATACAGGCAGAGAAGAGAAGTTGAACTCCGGACTGCTGAAAAACAAACCTAAACTAGGAGCTTGAGCAGGACATAAATCCATGACTAGCAAATTTCAAATTTGATTTGCTAACTACTTCATGCCCCTTAAATAACTGGAGGTGGTCTTTTGTGAGAGGTTTCCACTACAGTGAAACCTCGATGTAACGAACCTCTATAATTTAATAACGAAAGTCCTCGTTAGTATATAGATTTAGCCGGGGCTAAAAGCGAAGCTCTCGATAACATTTGTAGTTTGCTCTAACAAAATATAAAATCGTGTAGTACTAAGCAGCGAAGCTAACGGCAAACGGTGAAAAACAACAATAGGTTTAATAAGCAAAAAAGCAACTTTGCACGTGCAGCACACTTTTTTTGTACATTTCTTTGCCGTTGTTTTGCACGACTACAACGTGAAACTTCCAGAAACTTCCAGGAACTTCCTCGTTTCTCGTTTTATGGAGGAAATGTCATACGTGTTCTTGTTCACTTTCGCTTCATTTTACACTGCCGCTCATTTTCACGTTGATGGCCGCTAGTATTTCCCATTTTCTCACCGCTGTTGCAAAATTTTCATGTTGTTCTTCCAACAAACATCAGGGCCATTTATACGAGGAAAAATAAGACGCGTCTTACATAAGACGCGTCCTAAATAAGACACGAACTTTCCGTATAAACGGCACATTTCGTCTAAAATAAGTCGCGTCTTAGCTAAGTCGCGTCTTATTTTAGACGTCTTATTTAGGACGCGTCTTATGTAAGACGCGTCTTATTTTTCCTCGTATAAATGGCCCTAATGTCTCCTTTATGTTACGAACATTCTGCTTTTTTTTTTTGGAAAATTCGTTAAATCGACCAGGAGGCGAAATGACCGGTTACAAAGGCTTTTAGTTGGTAAGTTCTTGGTGTTTTGATTGGGAGGTGGTTGCTTACGAGATTTGGTTGCGCATGATGAATGTGCGACTGTATACAAGTTTGTTATAGACAGTTTTCTCCAAGAGCTACGTAGAGGACATTTAAAAGCAGGAAATGGCAGTACAAAACTTACAGTACTCTTGGAGAACTAAACAATAATTTTATTTTGTAACTATAGTCTGATCTCTCCACTTCACTACTGCTCCGACTACAGACCTTTTTTCACAATCCATGATACAGAATTTAAAGAATACACCACGAGAACACAAGCTCCGTAAGTATTAATTAAAAGAAATTGTTTTCCTTTATTGCATGGTGTGGAAAGGAGAACTCATAATTTATATCCCTGTTCAGAGCATTTGCCTGGTTTGTTAGGAAATCAAGCATTTTTTCCCATTTTGTTTTGTACTTAATAGCCATTTTCTCTTCAAAGTCCGTCGAGCGCGTTCTCGCAAAAAAGGTCTGAGACACTCAGTGGATGAAAGGCCATTTGCTAAAATCCAAGGAATTTCGAGCCGCAGGAAAATTTGCTCTCAAGTTTGCTCTTCGTGTCTCAAGGCTTTCAGTTTGTAAAAAAGTGAGGAGTTACCTGGTTTTATGCTTAATTGCTCGAGAAAGTGGCCTGATATTTTTAACGAATCACAAACCGTGCTGCTGCAGAACAAAATTGTGAGATAAATTGATCTAAATTGAAACAGTCATCCAAGAAGCAGTTTTGCCCTGACACATGCAGATATGGTGATCGTTGGGACGCCACGGACATAGTAACCCTCTCTCTCCATTTGATTTTGTTTTCAGCTTCTCTTAGGTCGTTGCAAAACTTCAACCCTGTTCAGTCAGAGATATTATTCTCCCAACGCTTCTTTTGTCGGTCCCTTCTTCTCCCTCCTTGCACTGTTCCTTGTAAAATTGCAGATACAACTTTTTTATTTCAGACCTGGAGTCATTCTCGGAGTAACAAATCCTTTCTTCGCCAAAACTCTTCAACACTGGCCACATATGGTTAGAATAGGAGAAATGTCAAATCTCGGTAAGTAAGCAACTCAGTGCAGAAACTGAAAAGTAGGATACGCTTAGACAGTACTACACAGTAACTTTTGTCCGGAAAGCCCACTTACGTACAATGTAAAAATAATAGTTGTTTGACAGGACTGTCACTTAGATTTCAAGGTGTTGGGTGCATGCAATAACTAGGCGGGGAATTGAAAAGCTGAGAAGCACTTTTGGTTATATTTTCTTTTGTTTCCTGTGATAGTAGCCGAGGAACATGCTCTTAGTAGAAACTAGCAAAGGGAAATGCCCGGTCCCCAGCCCATAATAGTGAGCTTATGCAACAGGACGGCAAATCGCTTGTGTGTGACAAACGTGACAGGCCTATTACCTGCGCGTTTCTTGTGGTGTTCAATTAATAAAACTGTGTTTGGATCTTTTATAAAAAGATCTTTTAAAAGGAATGTGAAGTTTGGAGGAAATTGTTTTCAAACAGAATTATTGTCACGCTTGTCACGCAAGGTTTGCCGTCGTTTTCCCTCTGCCGTCCCTTTGCGTAAGTTCACTAGTGACAGCCCTGCAAAATTTGAGACCCAGCGTGCCAATTCCCGCAGCCCCCTAGACCAACGCCTGTGGTCAGCTTTTCGTGTTGTCATTTGCGAACAGTTTGAACCATCAACGATCTATTCTAGCACACTGTGGGGTTCATTTCAACCCTTGAGTCCAAATCAGCCCCAGAAAAATTGGAGTATAATTATTAGTGTTAATTAAGAGAGCCAAATTACGCCCTGGGGATGTACCATAAGTTACTCACCAAACAGCCCAAAAACATTCTTTTGAATGGACAGTGCGCAGTAGCCTGAAATGTCACACTCTCCACCCCTGTAACCCATACCCCCATGACAGAGCGCAAAAACCGCCAGACATGCGCACTAGAGCTCTCGCCACTGTTTCTTGTATTCCCGCCTTTCGATTTTCAAAATGGCGGAGGACTAATCAGAATCTAACACGTCACTGCGGACGCTGCCAAGCCGCTGTCCTCGCTCTGAGAATTTTTCAACATCGTTTAACGGAATCTGTCAGCATTCAGCCATGTCTTGGCGACGCTAGCGAAAGGATCGGACTTAAACAGGTTCTCTAAAGCAGCGATGTTTGTGACCAGCTTCGGAGCCTATTTTGAAGCTTGTTGTTTCGAAGAAGGGCAGGTTTTTTGCGTTTCTTAAGGTGGTCGCTTACTCTTTAAGGTCAGGAAAGAGAAATGTTGTAGGTAAATAGTTTATGTAAAACATATCAAATATGACTTTTTTTTCGTTTCTATGAAAATTTTTTAGAGCTCTTTAAAAGTGGACTATTGTTTCATGACTTAAGAATTACAAGGAAGGCTTGTTCAAGGCGAAGTTGCAAGAACCTACAAGTATATTTACGTCATTTATCGCGTTGCTTCGCAATTTTTGTTTGTACTGACAGTGAAAGGAGTTCGATTTGCAACTGGTTTTCACGAAAATTGAATTCTAGAACTTTGTAATCTCACCTATAAAAGTGCTTATCTGCGGATTTTTTGTTAAGTAGTAAAGTTCGGGTGATGAACATTGTGTTTTTGAGGCGCTAAATATAAATACACTTTGGTGACACTGAATCGTTGTGATTGCTCACGTTGTTTTCTCAGCGAAATCTCGGCTACAATGCAGCTGGAAAAGTCATTCTTCTAGTTTCAAACAGCAGTAAAGGCATTTTCTCATGACATGTTCTGTGTTTAAAAGGGGCCACGAGAACTAAGGAGACGGTCAAGGTTTAGGGAGTATGGGGGGTGGGGGTAGGGAAAATTTTTAAGGTTCTTCAAAATGCCATGTAAATCTGTATTTCTGTTACAAATAAAATATATCGAAAAATTCCAATTATTATCAATGACAACTTAAAAATTGGGGGGGGGGGGGTCCTTCCAAAACAATTTTTAAAAAAATTTGAAAGAAATCAAAGACCAAAATAAAAAAGTCCACGAGAAACTTGAAGGTGGGTGCTTGTTGTTTTAACTCTTATTATTATGATCCAGACTATCTTTTAAAACACATTTCATCATCTACCCTCCCCCTTCCTCCAAATAAAAGTTCACTTTCTCAGCCTAAGTTTAATGGAAACCTAAGCCACTGAGGTGGAACAGGAAGTCATTAGTACTTATAACCTTTTCCATTTCACTGGCCACAATAGCGATCTGCTGTTTCTCAAAACAATGGAAAGGTGCAGTGATCAGCCTTCTCAAAATGTGTTGCATGCTCAGTCCTTATTTTTAGCCCATTTACTCGTGGAAATTTTGCAGAAAATAATTTTTTTGAAGCTAATCAAGCTGTTTTCTGGTCACTGCTTGGCTACAATAAGCCAAAATGCTGTTTGTGAGTTGAGCACTTCACAGAGCCTTCTGTTCCAGATGCAAAGTATCAGCTTCCAACATTTGATCATGCTCAGAAAGCAAAATTTCAAGCTAGTTTTTAGGTTTAAAAGTGACACAGCAGTCTTGAGGTTTATTTTTCACTTCCTCTCCTCCCATTGATAGGAAATGTTTTGGGAAAGCTTGTAGGATCATAGGATTAGATATAAGGACGTGTAAGTGGGTAGTGGAACAAGATTTCAAGGGGAATGTGTTTATAGTTAAGAGATGGTCCAGATAAGAAGGAAAGGACCAAAACGCAGTGAACACGTCGGAATGCAAAAAGGTGCTAACTTTACTATCGTCTCTACTAAGGTTCTGATTGGTTTAAACATCAAATTTTACGAAATCTTCGCAAAGCAGCATGTACATCAATCCTTTTTTTTCTATCCAACTTCCTTATAACAAAATCTCGTCTGAGTCTAAGTAACACAGAAATCGTATAAAGCGGATCATGTAAAATTGTGAACATCTCTTGGCCATTGTTTGCAACTCTTGTGATTGGTCGAAATGTTTTAACACAAAAATACACCCTTTAAAAGTGGAGTTTAAATACATTTTCTTTTCGTAAACAGCCTTTTTGTAGATTTATGAACTCTCTGCGTAAAAATGAAAACATTTCTATGTGAGGAAAGCGTATTGCGCCACAACAATAGAAATTGCTTTCCTTCTTACCTGGATCATTACTTAAGCATTAAATGTTGTGATGGGTTGGTTACAGTAAGTGACATCCCAAACTTGTTGTGTTCCTATTACTTGGGAAGGCAACCAGTGATAAATTCATTAAAAAGTTTTAAAAAATACACAAGTGTCGCTACTGTTTTCAGAGCCCAAAATAATAACTTCACTGGTAGATATTTTCACTTCTGAAAGTTTCATTGTATTGACCCCATGACAAACAATAACTAAACCAATGAATTTCTCATGGAGTTGTACTGTTCACCATCTTTCAGAGTAGCGTACAGTAGGACCTGCACCAGACCATTAGTTGACAATAATAACTTCAGAGAGATTATGTTCTATGTGGTTACCTGCCCGAGGTTATTGCTATTATCCGAAAAAAGTCATACAGCATAAGAAGCTTTTGGTGGAGAACTAAACTCAGCAAACATGCTTTACAAGAAAGTGCAATGTAAATCGTGTATAAAAGCACTGAGTCTGACTACCCTGTGTGCACTAATGTAGGCATTTACTGCATGCTTGACCAAAATATTCTTTGGCTTGTACTGAAAGCCAATGTCATGTTAATAAACTTGAAGCTTGTATTTGTTGTAGTTTTTAACTCAGGTAATGTATGCTAATAAAGTTGAAACAAAAGAAAAAATAAAAATTACCTGAGATAAAAAATTAACTACAACATATATGTCAAATATAGCTTCAGGCAGAAGGAAATGAAACTCTTTACAGGAAAAAAAAAATTTTGTTCAAAATCTTAGATTTTTCTTTGTAACACCATTAATATTTAACTCATTAACTGGCAAACAGTTTTGTTTATTGAAATCCTCAATTAAGCCCCCAGGGGGGGCTTATTTATTTCAAACACACTTGAGGGAGGGGGGCTTATTTGAGAGGGGGAACTTATTTAATTTAGCAAAGACTCTCCACAAAGACATAGAATACAAAGTGGAAAAGCTGAGGACCATAAACCAATCCAAACGTGCAGTTAGTGAATGAACCATCTTGGATTGGTCCACACAAAGTTTTTCAGTTGTGATTGAGTAATACAGTCTATCATTCATTAATTAGTGAAGAATATAAAGGGAAGGAGAACTTATTTGAGGGGGGGTAAAAGAGGATTTATGGTATTTAAATTTATGTTCATTTGATGAATGTGTTTTCATTATATCATATCTGTTTGAGACAAAGGAGCACATTTAGTTACTGTAGCATACTTTGAGAAACAAACATGAAAGCAATGCTTATAATTATGTGATAAGCAAGTATTATACACATTCCCGTGTGATGTTTGATTGACAGAGAGACTGTCCAGTGCAAAAAAAAAACACCTGATAGCAGGTTATCATCATGACAAGCAATTATCTCAGTGCAAAAGGAGACAATGTTCAGTACTCTTGTACATCTCAATAATACAAGTCATTGGTCCATCATTACACAAAAGAAGAAAAGTATTAATTTTATCCCAATGACACAGAACAACTCTCCAATGAGCACGATCCTGGCGTGAATGAAGTTATATTGTTCCATTCCATTTACAACAGTGAAAAATAATTTTCATCAATTAAGAAATCTAATCTGAAGAGAATTAGGGTAGTTGCCCTTCTGAATGAATGAATGATAACTTTATTTATACACGGTTAAAAACATCAGTCTAACATAGAAAATTAATTAAAAATTCTCAAAAACTGTTTTACATATTTGCCGTGCGGGAGTACTGATCAGAAAACCATCTACGGGAACTTATATACAACCTCCGCTCTTTTTAGAAATCAGGTTAATGGTTCCTGTTTCCTACAACAAAAGAAGTAATAAAATGATTATGGTAGATGTACAGCTTGTTTTATAAGAAATTACTTTTCAAAACAAACACTTGGAAGAAAAAAAAGAAAAATCAACAATGACAGAACAAATAAAAATTAGCTACTACAAATAACAAACAGCAAAAGAAATGAGCTTCATACATGTAAACAATTATCCACATGCTAAAACATTATTTGTAGCATGTTGTAAAATGTCTAACAAACACCTGATAGCAGGTTATCATAATGACAAACAAATAATCTCAAGAGTTTGGATTCTCACCTGTTTGCCTGTGTACGACGAGGACGATGATGATGACCCTGATATGAAACTTTTGGATCTCTACGACTCGACTGTGAATCAGAATTCAAAGGAAGCAAAGTGGGACGCTTTAATTTGAAATCAAAGCTATGAAAGCTGTTCGACCACGCGAAGCTCATGAAGCATGACGATTCTGGCCAGCCAAACGCATTTTCAAAATATGGACAATCAAAGCTGGAAACCTTTGGGTATAATCAATAGCAAGTTCCCTGTACCTGTTCCAGTGGGCAAAGGAGTAATCCGATGTCAGTTTGCTGAAAGCTGAAATATGCTCGAAGGATTTGTAATATAAATACTCGATGTTTACATATACGGTGGACAATGATCCCAAACGGCGCTTTCAGTAACTTCACGCACATAGTTTTGAAGGCAATTAAACAGTAGGTTTCATAAGTTTCATTTAAGGTTTCTTGCTATATTTGATTATTTCTTTTTCTACGAACAGCAGTCTTGTAGGTCCTTTTAGCTCACGTTCAGCCGCCAGGCTTCGATGTTCTTATCGATCTTGAATTTTCTCGGGTTTGCGCATGCGCAGTTACGCAAAACAGGCCAAACTACGTCATTATCCATTAGCCAATCAGCGGTTTTTGCGCTCTGTCTACCCCCATGGATTAGGGGTAAAGACAGCTGACCTGATTTCAGACTAAGCGCGTAGTCTCATATAATTAGGCTGATTTAGCAACAGAACGGGAACGTCAGTTGACGACAGCGCGCGCAAATCAAACAACTGGCTTGACCAATGGCAGAGCGGCAAATTGGACACCGGAAGTCGTGTTTAGTCCTTTCTGCGCGCTTTCCCGTCGCAAACTGACGTTCCCGTCTTGTTGCCAAATCAGCCTATTATATAAAGTTGGAACCTCTTGCTTTTTACTGTACTGACATTGTACAGAAATTTAACGCGGAATTTTACATACGTTTGTTTGGTGGGGGAGGGTGTGGGGAGGGGGTACAAATTCCTCCCCCCCCCCCCCACCACCATACAAACGTCTGTAAATTTTCGCAACTTAAAGGAGCTACATCTTTACTCGGTTAAGACGCATCACTTTCAAATTTGGCAATTTTACTAATTTTAAGGCGTCCTTTCCAGTAGTGTCGACGGATTTTCCCTAACTGGTCCATGTCAAAAGTTAAAAAACCGTGGAAGGGTCTATAGGACTAATAAACTGCACCTTAAGATTTATATTACTACAGAGTATCAGCCTCCTCCTCAGGTGCTTCGTTTTCACAAGATAGAGGCGAGCGACAGGTGATGAGCCGCAAGGGACCATGGGAAGGGTACAACCTCCTTCCCGCCTTCCTTTGTGCATACATTTTGATCGAGAGAGAGACGTCTGGGTACGAGGCAGACAGAGTATCAATGGCTGTATCTCCAGTTCAGCACACTAAAGACAGATTATTCGTCTTGAGACGGGTTATCCGTTGAAGAATACGCGTCAGACGGGTAAAACGTCTTAATTCGAAAATGGAACGGTCTTCAGTTTGGATGGACAATCCGCCTGACTTCATCAATCCGTCTTTAGTGTGAAAACGGCCAATGTGACGGGGTTTTTTTTGTTATTTGTAGTGATATCATCAAGAAAGTCACCAGGTGTTGGCCAAAATTCGAAAAGAACATTGTCGTCAAAGCCAGGTAACTGAAGTTGTTCAAATTTTAGTAGCTAATCTTGCCAGAGAGTGAATTACACCATTGCCTTTGTTCGGGGTAGTAGCTTTATTTAAACACCCATAAAACGGAGCAGTGATCGAGAGAAGGTGTTGAAGGTGTTGAAATGAGCGCACCGTCGGCCTCAGGTTGTACTAGGAAGCTTAAGCAAAGACGACCGCGACGGCAACTAGAACGGCAAAAAAGCAATAGGTTTATAGTAGCAAAACAACAACTTTGCACGTTTTTTTGTACATTTCTTAGCCCTTAATTGCACGGCTACAACGTGAAAGTGCCTAATTTCACTTTTTGTCGAGGACGAGAACTCAAGACAACAACTTTCTTTTTCTTTTCCTGAACTTTGATACAGTCCTTTAGAGTAGGCCATTTCGGAGTTCCCCTGGGCCTCGGTTTCAAAACGAGGGTAGGTGCTCAGACTTTCATATGGAAATCATTTTTCATTCTCATGCAAATAAGACTCGTTTTCACGAGAAAGGTTGTGCACCTAGCCTCATTTTGAAAGTGAGGGTTTTCGGAACTCGAAAGTGGCCTATTCAAGTCCAAAAAAATTTGCCAACATTTGACGAATTAAACAAGATGGAATAAGCGCGATAAAGTTTGAGGCAGCGCGAATTCACTTTTTAAGTAACGTTGTCGTAGCCATCACCGTCGTTGTTGCTTAAGCTTGCTACTGTTACGAGTTGCCAACGTATTATACTACTACATGAGAAATTACTGCAATCTGATTGGCTTAGAGCAGTGGTATTTCAGCTTAATTTGAAATACCTACATGTGAAAATTACAAACCTTTTGCGGGTAGTAGTATGAACAAATAATAGCATGATTTGTACGTCATATTTGGCATAAATACCACTCGTGATATTTCAAAATTGTCTCAAATTTCACTCGCCTAACGGCTCGTGAAATTACGTATAACAATTTCGAAATATCACTCGTGGTATTTATGCCAAATATCACTACAAATCATGCTATTACCTATACAAATACTGACCATTGCCGTTATCTTCTCCCAGGAATTTTTTTATGGGAAGAGAATTCAAACAACTTATTTTCTCTCCGTTCAGAAAACTGTACATGAATTAGTGTTTACAAAGCGTGAGCGCGACTGTGACTTAAAAGTTTTGTACTTGTTTTTCCTTCAGGAATCTATACAAAGTACAAGCAATTATTAGCAAAGGACAAACTTATTTTCAGAAGACTTAGCAAGGTTAGTATGAAGGTACATTGTATTTAGTTTTGGACGTCTGTGATGGTAATTTCAAAACATCCAAATTGTGAGTCTTCTTTTACAATGAAAACGTAAAAATGCTGAAATGTCTCGAAGGGACTGCTCGGTGGCTTTTGAACTACGCCTTCATAACCTAGACGCGGCGCCTTCTTGCCTTCTCTTCGTCCTTCTCATCACTGAAGAGCCAGTTCGTCAACCATGGTTCGTACAGTCTTCAAAAGATCTTCTCAAGCTCATACATAATTCATAAAGAAAATGCAAACGAAATTAACGTTTAATGGGTGTTTAGAAGTCATAAAAAGCTGCTCACTTTTGCATCCTTAATTATTTCTCATTCTAAAATTATTTTGTTTGAGAAGTAATACCAAGCATTTGACACGGTTGTACCATCTTGTGACGTTGTCCATAAGTCCAGTTGGTTTACCTGGGTGTTGAAAACAAATTTTGTAATTTATTCATTTAAAGGTTAGTTCGCATGACGTTATTTCTGCAAACAGCTATCTAATAACTGACCTGTCGCCCTTTGCAGGGAAATCATCCAAAGCGTCCACCAGAAGTGCAGGTGAGATCGTTGTGGAAGGATATTTCATTTTTTTCTTAGGGTACTCAAGGAGGCGTATGTGACCGAGCAGTTAACGCCTCTAACTCCGGATCTGGAGGTCCGCGGTTCAAGCCTCGCCCGTCCAGTTCTTTCCTTAGACAAAGAACTTTACTCCACTTTGTCTCTCTTCACCCAGGTGTATAAATGGGTTCCGGCGACATACTGCTGGGGAGGGGGGATGGAAGGGGTAACCCTGCGATGGACTAGCATCCTGTCCCGGGGGGAGTAGCAATACTCCTAGGTGCTTCATGCTAAGGAAACCGGGATAAACTCCGGCCGATTGGACCTTGGCTCGTGTGCGCCTTAACTGCCTTTATTTAAAGTGGCGACTTGCAGGAAGACTTAAGTAGATTGTCAACTTCGATTATGGATTCGTGGATTATTTTCCTCCTATCTCCGTAAACGCGAGGTTCCTTTCGTAGGCAATTTTATCAATTTCAATTGTACTGACTTTTCGCCATGTTTTTCGCGTCATTTTTTTTACTTTATTCTCTTACACTTTATTCATGTTTTACTTTATTTAGAATGCTATACTGAGGAGACACATGGTAGAACTTACACAAAGCTTCATGATTCCGCTGGTATGGTTGTTAATACTACAATTCATCTTATGGGAGGGCTGCTTGCTTTTTAAGTTTAGGTTTATTGCATTAAGATGAAGGTCTTTTACCACAACTTCGTGTGGGTTTGGTAGTGAACCCTGTCCAACAGCACTAAATTTCTTGCTTAGATTCTTATTTTAGCATTGAAATGTGTAACTTTGGTAGTCTCTGTCATTTTGATGTTGGTTCAAGTTCATTCCTTGCTAAAATTTGTAGGTAACTGTGCCCGTAGACTATCTGACCAGGGTCGCATGTATTGGACATGCGTGCAAACGTTCAGTCAAGTTTCCTACACCCAAATGACCAGCATGTAACATACGACATTGTTAGAACGTGTAGCTAAACATCAAAATAATATTTTTCCTCCCTAACCATGATTTCTCCTATCGCGTAGGAAAGATATGTTGCTAGTCTCATGCCTTTACAGAGAAGCATATCTCCCTGGAAGGTAAATATTTAAATCCGTTCTCTTACGAGTGAATGCAAAGGACTTGTGATATGGCTCTTATTTGCATTCGGACAAAATCCTGTAGTGTAAAGGTTAAAATCAAACAGATTTTGCTATTTGTTATCGTACTGTGTGTCTTTGGTCGAAAGGAAAAGAGAAAAGGACAGTTATCCTTATTTTGGATGCGTCAAGTTATAAACTGTATTTCATTCGAGTTTTCACATTCCGTGATTGTAATAATCTTAGCAACAGACAACACAACGGACTGCCGCTAATTATACCAGGGCTTATATGTACCCAAACCCAAACCCATAAGACGTTTTAGGAGGGCTATAAACGGATGGGCTTATGTCTGACGAGGTTTTTAACCGGAATAGAAAAAGCGCTTCGGAACAAGCTATAGCTCCGCAGATCAAAATACGCTTTTAATAATTATTAAGCTTCCAAACGTCTTAATAAATGGAGTTCATGCAGGCGCTTTCCATTCAGCAAAAATTCCGGTTTGAAATTTCCGAAATGTCACGTGCCCAATGGAACGATACATTCTCGTTTCACAGACCCGACCCAAGCCACCGCGCGTTTGGTTATTGTTCTTGTAAGCAGGATACAAAAGAGCAATACTGGGGACAGACCGGTCAAAGTGGACCACCTTCAAAAAGGTCATTTTCCAGTCGGAGCAAACCGAAGTGGTCCGTTTCATTTGTCCTAATAGTGACCAACATCGATTTTCTCCTAACAATATCCATGTCAAGAGAAATGGTTACGAGAATTAATCAAATGATCACTAAAGAGAAAATGCTTTGATCTTTTAGTAAACTCTCTCAACTTTTATCTAAGGAAATGTATGAATATCAGTGCGGAGAATTTGTATGTGGATATTGGGGCTTACAGGGTTAAATTAACTACAAAACCGTGAACGAAGAACCTGCTGGTTGTCAACGTTGTATCTTAGAACAACAACGACAACAATCTTCATTTGTACTCACTCTTGCTGAAAGATAAATTACAACAATGAAAATACTAAAAGTAAAAATTAGAGTACTGGCTTCCTGGAATAACCATGGAGGCTAGCGGAGCCAGGCAGCCAGAAAAGAGATCTAACCAGCTAAAATCATGAGAACAAAAAACGAGTCTAGAACTTCAAAGACTACTGCAAAGCTGATCGTAACATAGCCTGCGAACGGCAGAAGTTTCTCTTCGCTCATCGCCCGCTGAGAGACCAGGCTAATCATAACAACGTGTATTGCTTTTTCATAACAATATTTCGGCTGGTCATGCCAGCCTTTTTCAGGTAACATCAGTAAACCTGAAGAAAAATATTGTTATGATCAGCTTTGCAGAAGTCTTTGGACTTTTTGAATGGAAAGCGCCAGATTTCTCTCAATAGATTTGGAAAAGGGATGTACTTTTTTGTTTGCTGGTTGATGGGCCTATATTTGAAGGGGGCTTATCAGCGGCATTTGACTTTTTTGCGGTTTGTTTAATTTTTTTGACATTTTCAGCATCCTCCCAGATTAAAACCTTTTGACGCTGACGAGTTTCTGAGGACACTGGAACACTCAGGCCCTCAGCTGACGTCCAAGCTGAAAGGGAACTGGATCGGGCTTTACAGGTAGGACCAAGAGATCTCTTGGTCACATTATAACCAGGTTTCAGTTTTCGTGCGGTGGATAGAGTTACATGTACAGTGGAACCTGTCCTTTGGAACACCTCTATTGACGGGACACCTCCATTGAGGGGACGCAAAATTTGGCCCAACCTCTATTGAAGGGACACCTCTATTCAGGGGAAAGGGACACTTTTTCTGGGTCCCGAAACTCGGGCTTAACTTTCATTTAGGGGTCACCTTAGCATTCAAAAAGTGGCTGGCCAAAAAAATCTTTGATAAATGAAAGTGTGTACTAGTAAAAGTGGCGACATCTTTCAAAACTTGTTCTGCACCTGTGGGAATTCAACACACAACATCGCAGAGATACGTTTCATACATTTTCTAGCTGCTCGAAATAATGACTGCGGTAGATTGCGAAGCAGAAGAAAAGAAAAATACATTTTTTGTTGGTTAGTTATTAACAAACCCTAGCCCAACCTCCATTTAGGGGACACCTCTTTTTAGGGTACACCTGCCTTGGTCCCGAGGGTGGTTCTACTGTATCTATTTCGTACAATACAATTTTGAGCAACTACAATAGTTTTTTTCATGATGTTTTGACGATACTTATTTATCCGGAGTTTTGTCGACTTTTTTCAAACGAGAAATTGTTTTTTTGTTGTTGTTGAGGACCTAAACAGCAAGTGGTTAAAAGCTAACCATTCGGTTCCTTTTGTTAACCTCAGAAAATTCTTCAAATCTGCTAACTTCGAGGGCTGGCTTCGTCATCGACAGCGAGAAATTCGACAGAAGCTGGAACTTCTGCACCTAGAGGCACTGGGGAAAGCTGTAAGTAGAGCTTTTAATCAAAAGTAAAAACCGTTTTTTTTTTTCTAATCGATCTCCATACGTTCAAGTCCAAAGTTCGCTTACCAATCAGCAAACGAAGGCAGTCGAAATAAACCTCCAATCAAATACCTCGTTAAATGAGAGGAAAAGTCGTTACGTCACGTTGCCATGGTAGCAAAATTTCTGGGTGACAACAAACCACAAACGTCACTTAAATAGTGAATTTGTACTGGTTCAAACCTCATCGATCTTATTTAATTTGTCAAATGTTGGCGGGAATTTCAGGGGTTGAATCCGAAAGACCATATCTAAGTTTAGAAAAAGAAAAAGGAAATGTTCGTGTTGTGTTCACCAACTCCATAAAGCGAGCGCGTAAAATTAAAAAGTTTCATGTCGTAGTCGTGCAGTGACGGCGAAGAGATGTACACAAAAGCGTGATGCACGTGCAAAGTTGTTGTTTTGCTCATTAAACCTATTACTATTTTGCCGTTCTCGTTGACGTCACCGGCGTAGTTACTTAAAGGACATTGGGGTATGACTCGTTTTGAATACGAAGCTAAGCCCGCATTCTAAAGGATGTGGTGTTTTAATGAAGGGGCTATTGGAAAGGCCCGTGGAACCTCGTAACAGCCGATCAAACTAGCGATGGCGTCCCCAAAACAGTCCCATAGTGCAATGCGACACAACGCCGACCCAGTCTCACGTATAACTTCATAATGACAAAAATGATGTGATTGGCTAAGGGTGATGTTACATGGGACGATTGGTAACGACGATTTTGAGCGCAGCAGAGCGTTGTAACATTGTTGCGATATTGGAGGAATTAAGAGTCATGTTTACTGAAAACGGCAAACTCATGTTGAGAATTTAACAAAATAGAACATGAACAAATAAAAAGAGTCTAAAACAATTCTTATGGATGAAAATACCGTGAAAATACTTCTTATTTTGTAGAAGTAAAGAACAGTTTAGGACAAGTAAAGGGAAAACTTGGTCACGTGGCAAACGTTATCCGTTTGCCGTAAACGAGAAATGTTAATCTCTCTGTTGTTTCGAATGGTTTGCAGTGCCATGTATTGCGCTGAAAATCGTCGGTCGTTGCGAATCGTCTCATGTGACATCAGCTTAAGTGAAGCACACTTCCCCCCTCTGTTTTCAGGATGTTTTATTTTGGATCAAAGATAAGCATGAGGTAGAGAAAGTGGATTTGTACTTACAGATCAAGGAGAAGCTGGTAAGTTTGCGTCTTTGTTTTCTTTTTACTTCCCCGCTGGACAAAACGTTTCAAATTTTACGTCCCGGGAACCTTTCGATTCAAAGAGTAAATCTCATTGAGAATATTGAGCGACCGAGGCATAAATTAATTTAAGAATATTCTAGTAGCAGGAAAAAGGTTGTAACGTTATAGGAGAATATTTTGAAAGAGGCTCTTGGAACCAAGATTCCAGAATCTTTAAGGAGACGTTTTCTGGATGTTGCAGGAACTACCGTAAAATTCCGAAATTAAGCCCCGGGGCTTATATTTTTCAAAGGCCCTTTTTGAGGGGCTTATATTCGGAGGGGCTTATCTACGGAGGGAAATTTGTGTTTCTAAATCGATTGGGCTAGCCTTATAGTTGGAAGGAAATTTACCGTTTTTGCTTTGTTTTACTTTGTATTTGAGGGCAATTTTCCAAGTACAAGCCCCCGGGGGGCTTATGTTTGGAAGGAGCGATTTAACGGATGGTTTTTCGCGTTACCAAGTTTGGGGGGCTTATACATGGAGGGGCTTATTTTCGGAATTTTACGGTATTATGGGTTGGTTGTTTTGATGTTGTAGTGTGGATATTATCCAGTGTCTCTGCAATTTTTAGTATTACCTCATTCGCGGATCGTACCATCTACAATTCTTGAAGGTTTTTTTTACGGACGTCGCTAACACTGGGAACAGGAAAGGAGTACAGGGAATGAGAAAATTAAAAATGGGAACAAAACTGAACTAAGACCAAGAAATTTTACATGAACGGAACGGTCATCTAGAAATTTTCTAGCCGTCCTCTGGGTATAGAAAATTCTATGCAATATTTGCCTCTCCAAACAGTTAATTTACAGAAAACAGTCGTTGGGTACCGCAGTAATGCTGAAGTCTAACGTCTTTAAAAAGGACACACGGTTCTCAAACATGGTCAAACGTAACCTTGGTTGGCCTTAAATTGCCTTTTCCCACTTAGTATTGGTATTGGTGGATTTCCCAACCCACACCTACCCTGGTGCGTCATATTTTGTGTCCCTGCATTGTGTAGTTCTCGAAAATATCCATACCCCCCTCCTCCGCCACGGAGGGCAACGGAAATTCAGAGGGGATGGGGGGGGGGGTCCCAAAAGGAGGCAATTTCCGAGGAGGTGGGGGTTGCTTACAGGGGTTTTTTTTCTAGGGGGTCTGAGTACGTTCGGTGAGTTATTAATAAATAACAGCTTCTCTGTTGAGCAAGCTATCAGTTATTTTATTGTTACCGGTGTTTCAAAGCAAGTATTATTGTTTGGATTGACCATCCGTTTATCTACGTTCGGCTAGATGCTTTTTTCACGTCTTATGCTATAGTTTTCTTTAATTATTATTTTCTGCGTTTTCACTATGTGTCTCGCCGAACTAGATCTTAGTTTAAAGTTCCGGTTACAATAATCCTGATAGGCTGGTTTATTGCAGATCAGTTTAGGTTTCTGGGAAACTTGCCTGCGTGCAGACGTCTCCTATTTCCTTTGATGCACGCAGGCAACTGGGAAACCTGCTCACCGACCCCTCTCCTAGGCCAACATTTTGCCCTACGGGAGAAGTAAGTGTTAATGTTGGCTTAGGGAAGGAGTTAGACTACGAGTAGTCCCTATTTTTCCTCAGGGGTAGCAGAGCGAGCGAGCGACACGCGAGCACGCGTCAAAATCACCCCTCGCGAGAAAGGCGAGACGCGGCGTTGGGAAAGAAAACTCGCATGGGGTGATTTTCACGCGCGCTCGCGTTTCGCTCGCTCTACTATCCCTGAGGGAAAACTCGTAGTCTAGGAAGGAGTAGGGATATCAGATTGCTTCCTAAACTCTGTTGAGGCTCAGTATGTTGAATTATTATTTGAATATTAAACGAAAGCAATTTATCGTAAGTAAGGTAAATAGCTTTTATTTCTTTAATCCATATGAGAAATGGCCTAATTTAACTTCCAACATACACGCATATTACGTCCTTTTTACTACTACATGAGATATTTCTACAATTTGATTGGCTTAGAGCAGTGGTATTTCAGCTTAATTTGAAATACCTACATGTGAAAATTACAAACTTTTGCTGTTAGTAGTATATTATAACCAAATAATAGCATGATTTGTACGTGATATATTTGGCGTAAATACCACTAGTGATGTTTCAAAATTGTCTCAAATTCAATTACGTATGACAATTTCGAAATATCACTCGTGGTATTTATGCCAAATATCACTACAAATCATGCTATTACCTATACGAATTTAACGAATCTAGCAAATTTCTTATTCTGTAACAAACTCTCACTTTGACATATGAGCACCCTCAACTACTTCTGTTCAGCTTCATCTAGAACTACCCTGAACAGTTTTCTCTGTTCTATTTAGTTTGTGTTCTGTACTCTTCCGCTTTTGGCTTTATTTGACATTCCCTTTTAATGAAAAAAAAATTTACTTGGAGCTAACAAGACATCTGTATTAAGCCCAGCCTGTTGGTGGTCCTGAAACTTAGTAAGGATACGGTATTGCTTAAGTATTCTTCTAGTCTCCCTTTTCTCCAATTTTTTTTTTTTTTTTTTTTGCAAAACGGAAACAATAATAACAATAACTAATAACGGAGGTGAGAAACTATCCTAATAAATTTAACGAATCTAGCAAATCTCTTATTCTGTAAACTCTCACTTGGCGAATGAGCACCTTAAACTAGTTTCTTTCAGCTCATTCCAGGAACCACCTCTCAACAGTTTGCTCTGTTCTGTTTAGTTTGTGTTCTTTACTTTTCTGCTTTTGGCTTGATTTGACATTCCGTAAAGAAAAGGACAATTTACTTGGAGCTTGGTTCTGGGACTTCGTAAGGATACGGTATTTCTTTCATTTTCGAGAGTACGTACGCCCGGACTGCCTGCTTGATTTTGTTGTCAATCTTAATTTTATCCCGTCCGCTAAACTTCTTCTTTTTAGTGAATCTTTTAAATATTAATTTTGGAATTACTCCACTAATAAACACAAAGAAGGTGGAGACTAGTGCTGATATTTCCTCTACGGTTTCAAAAAATAATATGGCCAAGAAAAATAAACATAAAAATGAGACAATTAAAGCCACATTTCGTAACATGAAGAAGATTTCAGTTCTCAAGGGAAGAATTTGCATTTTAGAATCCGATTCTTCATTGTCTTCTTCATTGCCACAGACAGACCAGAATAGTTTTTTTGGAATAGTGCCCTTATTGCGGCATTTTATCCATGACAAATCTTTTGTCTCTTCTTCCCAGTGATTTAAGATCATACCTTTAACCTCTCTATATCTACTCTGTAAATTTGAGTAACATAGATATATATTCGCTGCAACTACAGAAATAAAAACTACGTAAGGAGTCACAAATTCATAATTTAAAACCAATCCCACAATTGTAAGAAAGAATATATTTGTTATAAAAAGTACCGATGGTACAAAGACAGCAACTAGCATAGAAACATACATTAAAAAAGATAATACGAATACAATAATACGCTGCAGGATGAAACAACATCCACCGGCTTTGACAATCAATTTTAAAATGTTTATCTCATTTGTCTTAAAAAAGACAAAAAATATTAATTGTACAAATGGCGATAAAAGTACAAATATTCCTAACAGGCCGATTAAAAAAATCAGTATAAAAACTATACTTAACGTTGCACGAAAAAGGAATACAGGAAAAATCAATAGAAAATCACACATGAAGCGGCATGCCCGTCTTAGTCTCGATTTGCCTGTTCTGCCGCTTAAAGAAAGCTTTATCAATTTACTCATGTATTGCTCCATCATTGAATGAGTGAAATTGAAGACACACTGACTTTGTCTTTCTAAGACTTCGGCGATCAATTGACCAAATGGAGGTTTAAGTAAATCCTTCGGTTTGATAAATGCAATAACTACAAACAACAATATAGAAGAAATGAACGCGGTAGTGGTCACAAACGTTGGTTTCCATTGCGATCGAAAATCAAACAAAAGGGATAAACAAATAGTGAAAAAATGTCCATCTTGAGTACAGGGTTGCTGACGTTTTCGACTGCTCTCTTGATAATATTCTAAGTTATAAAAGTAGACCACTGCAAGCTTGAGATGTAGGAAAATGGGAAACACAACAAAAATAAAAAAGAATAGTTTAAGGTTAAAACTAATTTGGATTTGTGGAAGTTCCTCTATATAGTCTCCCAGTAGAGCGCTAACAGTGATGGGGCTGTTGTCGTCTACAGGAATTTCAAATTTGGATAATTCCTGGTCTTCCTTTTCGTGATAAGGAGGGGAAATTTCTTCGTATTCACTGTCTGTTTCTGCCGCGCTGTTAATTTCTTTGTCGCGTTCGTGCTGAACGTTGAACAACCAATCGGGAATTAAGAGAGGGATTGCTGGAGAGTACCAAAAGAGTATAAACGTTAACAAAATATATACGGCTTTGAACGGTTTGGTGAACCAGACATTTCCAAGGGCAAGCCCACACCGAATAATCATATGATTCCGTTCGGCGTTGTTCTGCGCGCTGCAGCAAAGAAATTTCCAACCTTCCTGACTTGAGGAGTTGCTCTTGTGATATGTACACACAGATCCAGTCTGTGGTAAGCGATTTCCAGGGCTTAAGTTCGTGATATTGCCTAACAGCGCTTCTCCGACAACATTGTCCTGGCAGGATGTGTTCAGTTGAGAGAGACATGTAGGTGGTTTTTCTTCAAGTTGCACGCTCATGTACCTCTTCTGGCGTGTTAAAAGGCCCAAAGAGTAGATGTCGTATTCGGTGTCCGTCATGCGCAACATCGGCTCTTGTATTGTCTTCGCCCAAATCCATCTTTTGGCCAAAAGCCTTTCATTTGACTCCAACGGATGGACACTATTGTTACCGATTTCTAAATTGAAGTAGACAAGCCTAACGCCTTCTTCTGAAACCAGCTGTTGAAATTTGACGGCAGGGTTTTGTCCAACTAGAACAAGCTTACACTGGCCCACGCCACAGACCTTGTGAACAGCAGAGGTCGCCGATAAACAAACTGCGATGAGAAAAATAGCGTAGATAGCCATGTTCTGCGACTTCTTTTCCTTAACTGTCCAGTGCACTGAAAGCGCTTTATTAGCAAAACAATCTGTTTTCAGGAATGATTGTTATCGGCAAACCTAACAATAAGGCATTGGAATGCCCTGTGGCAATATTTCGCCAATTTGTTTTTCCAATTTTTTCTTTGTGATTGCTGTTTTGCCACCTTTAAGGTTTATTTTCACCGACGCGTTTTTGGCAACACACATTAACACACGTAAATTTTAACCACGTAAATAAAATAGAGTCAAGTTAAAAAGTACAGAGCTTAAACAAGAAGTTGAGCGAAATTTAACTTTTACGCTTACGAGCAACCTTCCATGCATTTCTTCTATTTTATTTGCGAACGTAAATTTTACGCACGCACGGACGTAACAATTACGCGACACCGGAAATCAACCCTTAGTAAACAAGGCAAAACGTTTCTTGTTAACCCCAGACACATTCCTGGCCGTTTGGTGCAGTTTTATGTCCTAAATGAGCACATTTTCACAAAGCATTTTATTTATCGCATTTTCAATCGTTGCCTATTTCGTGGATCTTGCGGTCAACAAAATTGGAATCATGTGCATTGTCTTGTTTTGGGGCTTAAAGTTCTTTGTGTGCGGGTCATTTTACGGTCTGGAAAAATGGCATTTCAAAGGCAATCTTATTCCGCCTCTCTTTTGTAAATCACCTAACCTTTGAGTAGCATTCGCATTATCCGAAGAATATTGGGTTTTGTTCAATATATTGCAGTCTAGTTGTCAGGTCTCGATACTTCGAACGTACAATGTAGATAAAATTATCATAACAAATTTGCCTTTGACCATCAAAGGGGTCACCGCACAATTTCTGCTGCTGTTAAGGTGGCTCAGTACGGTTTTTCAATGCTTATATCCCCGGAAGGTATAGCGACTAAAAAACGCAAGGGATCGTATGGTTCTAACAAGTACATTGAAGCACAGGAGGCCCAAGCTCATTGCAAACCTTATGAACACAGCGCTCAACAAATAGGCTTTGATAGAGAGTTAAGGCAACCAGGACAACGCCAACGCTATAAACCTCGCTTATGAAGTATTTTTCACGCTCTTTCAAACTTTATGCTAATGACTTCCTCTCACTTTATTTATCAAATGGCAGTAATTAATAAAATTTGCCCTAGAGGTGAATTGTTAGCCGCATCTAAATTTAAAAAGAGATAGGAAAATTCGTCTTTGTATGTTCACGTCGTATATAAAATGTTGGATTAGGATGTTTCACGTCGTACGTGGACGGAATATTAATGTTCCAAAATGTGTTATGCGTGTGCAGCGCAGTTGATCATGATACTTCAAACAAAGCGCTATATCCCGTCTAGACAATTGTTCTGAGCGGCACCCTTGATGCACCATGATCTTGGTGACCCGAAACCGACTGTGCTTTTTTTACATTATCGCAGTCGTCGTCATCGCCGTTTCGTAAGCTACTTATTGTTTGAAAAAAAAATTCCATTTAGTTCACAGTGTGCTTATTTGGTTTCCTCTTTGGGCCAGTGATAGACTACTTTTGTCATTGTAAATAAAAACGTTTCCACACGTCCCGGCAACTCATTTCTAATGGCCGCTTTTCCTTTCTCTTAGTGAACTTTAAGAGCGCTATTCGACGTGTCGTGGGTGGTGATTCCACGCTCGCTCGAGTATGTCATCAACCTTTCTATAGGCCAGTTTCCAAGTTATCGAATTAACAAACAGATGCCATGTTGTCGTGCGTCTGTTCAGTAATAGATCACAGATGACGTCAAAATGTTAGTGGTTAAAACAACGAGTGTGTCACTGATGTTTTTTCCTTCATTCATGTCTCTGTACTTTAATTCACCATTATCACATAGACCATAATGCACCTTGCCCCCCTCCCAACCCCGAAAAAAAAAAATTATATAACCATTGTGTTCGATCTCTTGGGGCGAACAGGAGGGCATTTTGTATGCGCATGCGTCAATATGGGCTGTTGAAGTGCCATAGAGGCATTTTCTGTGAGTTGTTTACGTTCAGTACCAGCATTTGCAGGCTGTTTTCTGGAGCTGAATGACGTGTATTGGGTGCTACGTTCCTCAGACGTGTTCTTTAAGGTATCGTGGTATTTTTTACGATGAAAGTGAGTTTATTGTAGCCTCGCTGTCGCCCTTGAGAGGACAGTCTTTCCTTTCGTAAAACAGTACATCGAAGACAAGATGGCGGCTGAATGTTCTTACCACCTAACATTTCGCGCACATTTTTTGAGCAGGAGGAAAAGGTCAGTATGATAGTTTTTCGTCGAACAATTATCCTATAGATAGTCAATTCTTCTCAATAGTATAACTCTAAAATCGAACTTAATCGTTTCGAGGAATACAGTGGTTAATTCAATGTCCATTCTGCCGTGAAACTGTTTTTCACCCTTTCTATGGCTTGTTTATCTCGAAATCTTGCCTTTCTCCCCAGATTAAGTTAATGATTAATGAAACTAAGAATACTTCCGCGAATGAATGGCGCTTTGATGAAGGCTGTGAAAAATCGCCTTCTGTAATAATTTTAGCTTTCTTCTCCGGTACGTCTTCGTTGAGAAATAAAATACACGCACTTCAACTATAAATTTAAATCAATATAATGATGCCAGTAAGATTGTGTTTTGAAAATAAGAATATTCTATCATTTAGTTATACAAAGGAAAAAAATATCAGCAATCGGTTTGAATTCTGATTTTTTTCCACATTATTTTGATGGTACACTGTTTGTTTACATTTCATTATGCAAATAAATATAACATTTTGGCGTTTTAAAGAAAATCTAGCCTAACTCCCCAACCCCAAAATAGCACGAAATGAAACGTTATCAATATACCTTTTAAATAAATCCTGGCTTCTGTTGCAAAAAAATCGCATTTATTCCTAAATGATACCATTTTGTGGATACTACATTTGTTGATATGCTAATTTGTGAGACATTTCGTTCACGAAGGATGTTGACTGAGACCAGCTTCTCCTCTGTATTGAACCACATTCTTGTTTAGTGCATCAGTTTCTGCTTGATAATTCTTCCATGATGTACAACTTACATAAGGGGTTCATCTGGATACAGTAAAAAGCTCTCAACAGAAACATTAAGAACAGACAAATTTATCCATCCATTTGTGTCATGTTTGTTGTCGCATCCCAGCTCATTTGGGTCCTTTAGCAGAAGTATTTATCTTTTGAGGAAACAGCATTATATGCACCCCTTTAACAAACTTCCTATCTTATGTTCAAACAGGCTTTGAAGGTGAACAACATCGTCATTTAGATTTATATGGAGTGATGGCCATTCTCTGTTTTGAAGGGATCACTACTGTCATCAAATATAGATTAATAACAAGAAATCGATTGTGGAGCACAGGAGCTGTTACTCAAGAGTACTTTCAAAATAGTAGCTTAGGAAAAATCTTTGTATCTTTAGAGTTAAAAAAAAAAATAAAAGTACTGTTCGTTTTTTCGGAGTATGCGTGCATTCGTTTTGTCTGCAACAGTACTGAGCTTAGAAATGCTCAAGTGATTATGTTCTACCTAATCACTTGTAATTGTTTCTGTCTCAAACTCAGTCCATTCTTCATTTCCTATAGAATATTTTCTATAAATTTTTCCGCGAAAACTTTCAAAAAACTGTAAAAACCCCATAGATTTCACGTTTTTGTGGCATATATAAACGCTTGTCTTCGCGATCAGTTTAACATGAGACATCGCGCTAATAAATAAACCTTGCGTGGTAATTTTTTTTTTTCGCTTTTTGCCCTAAAGCAGCTGAACATTGCTACGATGCATTTCCTCGCTGATGTGTAAAACCACGAGTTTGGAAATCAAACCATAGAAATGCATTGCTTTGCCAGTGAAAATCAGACTTATACAGGAACATGACTTTTTGGCGTTGAGTCTTGAAAGTCTTTAAAAGGCCAAGGAAACCTACTGCTGAAAAATCTACGAGTGAAAATCCGCGTAGAAAACGTCTGATTTTTGTGATGGAGAATATTTTTTGAAGGAAAGTGCGGTATTTAAAGCACCAACGAAATGGCTTTTAAAAGGACTGTAACTTTACGCGCGAGTTTTCGATTTCCCGCCATCAGATTTGATGCGCCCACGCTATTGTCATTCAGCGGATTCACGCATGCGCATGCAAAATGCCCTCCTGTTCTTGGGGCGACTTTGATACCTAGGAGAAACTGAAAACAATGATGATGCAAAATTTGGGGGAGAGGCGGGGGGTAGGGGGGGGGGTGAACAAGGTGCATTATGGTGTATGTGAAAATGTGACCGTGGGCAACGACCAATCACGGCGCGCGTAATATCCACCACTTTGTATAGAATAATTCATACTTGCCTCCGATGGAAAAACATAACAAATCAATTATTCATCCCTGAATCTTAATGCCATTTCTGTTGTTTTATAACCTTATCCTTTGACTCAAGTGGGAATAACTGGCCTATTCTTTTCTATTTTTTTAAATTCATACTCAATGGTTTTCATTGTTATTTTTATTTCAGGCTGGTTCAGCATCTTTTTACCCTCCTGTAAGCCACGAGATCACGCAACAACTCAGAGCACACCTGGGTTCAATCACCAGGAACCTTCCAGAAGATCTTCAGTATGTTTTGAAGAATAGTTGACAAAGGATCCTAGTCAAGTTTAGCTGTGATTGGTCAAGTAAGGAATTAGGATGAAGTTCGTTTTCCAGTCAAAGACAATAGTTGTAACTTTTCGTAAGCTACCACCAATTCCTAGCGTTTTGGATGGATACTTTCGGAATCTTCGTCTGTTTTGCGTGGAAAGAGGTTACTAACGGGAGTGAAAGTTGGCCAAAGTATTTTTTTCTGTCAAGAACTCAGCGGGCTCATTCAGGACTTCATGCAGTTTCCGTTCTGCAAGAAAGGCTATATTTTTTATTGATTTTTTAATTTAAATTTACTTGTATATTTTAGTTGGAATAATCCAAAGCTTTTAAACCAACTTCCACCTTATTCGACTGCCTTTGTCCGTTACAAAAATTAATATAATTATTATGTACTATTTAAATACGTAATATAATAGATGTTTTAACCTTTGACTCCCAAAAAGGTGCAAAGTTAAAATTCAACAAAAATGTTAACATTTTATTTTGTAAATGCTGAAAAAATATCATGTATCATGTGAAAGTACTACTGAAGAGGTTTCATTTGAATGGTAATACCATAGGGCTTTATCCACACACTCAAAGGTTAGAACTACATACTGAATAAATAGTACCATGTGAAAGTACTGCTGAAGAGGTTTCATTTGAATGGTAACACCATAGGATTTCATCCAGAGACTCAAACGTTAGAACTACATACTAAATAAATAGTACCATGTGAAAGTCCTGCTGAAGAGGTTTTATTTGAATGCTCATCTTCTCCATTTTTCCGTATTCTTTAAACAGAGTTTTGGGCCAGCAATTTAATTTAAACGAGTCGTAGGTCTCAAAAGTGTCTATTATTATAGGGAGTTATTTTTATTATAGTAATTTTTTTAAAATTGTTTTCTTATACGAAACAAGGTTTGAAAGTTGTGATATTGGGGTTTTGAGGTTAAGGCAGCATGTAGAAGATAGTTTTTACAGTTACTGGAATTGTACTGTACAGCGCTGGAGCGGTAGATTACAAAGCTTGCTTGTAGTAATGAACCACCCGGCGAGTGGGTAACTTGATTGAGCTTTGTTTCGGAAAGAAGAGCAAAACCTAGTTTTATGCAAGAAGAAAAAAAGGATGACTTACCAAATATTGTGTAAATTATGCTCGACTTCAAATTTAACCTTTTATTTTGTCAAGTGAAAGATCTTTGGCCAGTTAGTCAAACGAAGTCTAGTTAGACCTCAGTGTAGAACAGTCGTTCGACATCAGCTTTCGTTTGTCAGGTTTAAGTAGACGTGCATTTTCCAGTCCGTTCTGCGAGCCTTATTTGACACCTTTAACGGTTGGCTACACAAATTTTGTTTATTAAGGTTCGCCGATGTGAAAATAGTTTAGAATACAATCTCGATAAGCAGTCGCTAAACTCCGTTTTGTAACCGGCCTGATAAGTTTAATCGAAGGGGGAAATGGTGTGCGGTTTCAGTAGACTCGTGAGATAGACTTAACGTTTTAAAATAACTGCTATGTGAAGCGATCCACAATGGTAGTTTTGAATGCTCTGAGTTTTGTATGGTCAAAACGACATCTTTTGCAATTCGCCCCTTTAGAAGCGCCGAAAAGGAAACTGGAGCTGAAATGCGTCCCATAATTGTTTTTGGTATCGTCACTGGAGACGCGTCGGTCAGCTATTGGTTAATTTTGTCCCCTGTCTCTAGTAACAGTTTCGTAAGTCTTTGTGAAAGTTAACTGGGCTCAGTTTTTCTCGTCGGTTCTAAAGTGGCGAATGCTCTGGCAAGAGGAAGAGGCTACAGATTTTCCGACGTCGAAACGTCGTGACTTTTCAGTGGTAACGTCTATCACAAAACTATATCTAAGAAATTAAACATCAAGAAAAGGATATTAGGTAGTGATTCAACCCATAGCGGCTTTTGTGTGACCTTTTCCCCTTCACAAGTGTAAATGGCGCTAAAGATTATTTTTATATACTTATGAGGGTAATTGTTTATTATGGGAGTGGCCTAAATGTAAATACTAATAGAAGAGGTCTCCAACGCCCAACGACATTAAATTTGTTCATTATTTGTATTTGCTAAGTTGATATTGAAGTCTCTCCGTGTATCGTGATTCGTGATCCAAGACGGTCTTGGATTCTAGATTCCAAACTGTGGATTTCTGGATTCCGGATTCCAACTGCTAGGACAATTCCAGATTTCCTGTTAGTGGAACGTGGATTCCGGATTTTAAAGCCTAAGGTCGTTTACCTTTCACAAAAGCTTCTTGAAAATCCCGTTGGGAAGTGAATGGAACACGACTTTTAGATTCGTTCCAGCGGAAAATTTCTATGTGTAACGGAACATCTGAAAAGGTTGACCTGTTTTTCCGGTCGGAATGTTCCTAACGAACATTACCGTTAAGACTGCACACTTCTACAGTATAACCATAACTCAAGTAACTGAGCCAAATGTTGGGTACGTTTGGGCTTGCTGATCATTCGTAAATCCTCTCTCCCTAGGGGCGGGAGGGGGGCGGGGGGCTTATTTATTTCAAACACATTTGGCGGGGTGAGCTTAATAGAGACGGGCCTGGGGAGAGGGAGGGGCTTATGCAATTTACCAAAGATGGTGGTATCAGTTCTCCAAAAAGAACTAGAACGCAAAGTGGAAAAGCACAAGTAAAAGAGGTTGGAGGTCATGCGGCTGAAGTTCAAACACAAATCCGAACTCCCAGCTGGTGAAAAAAACATCCTGGATCAATCCACACGAAGTTATACAGAACTACTTACAGTGGTGATTGATCAATGGTACAGTCTATCATTTATGAGTGAACAATAACTGGAGGGGAGCTTGAAAGAGAAGGGGTTGCATTAACTTTCTTCTACTGAAAAAGGGGGAGGGGCTAATTAGAGAGAGGCGCTTAATACGGAAGATTACGGCAAACCAATTTCCTGTTGATCACCAAAGTGGAATAATCAAACCTAGTCAAGTACAAGAAAATCAAAGACAGCTTAACCCTTTAAGCCCTAAGAGTGATCAGCATCAAAATTTCTCCTTGTAATATCAATGCTTTGTAAAACAGACTGGTCATGAGAATTACGGACATGATCACACAAGATGAATTTGCTTGATATTTTATGAACTTCTCGCCACTACTTCTGTAGGAAATGAATAGGGGCAAGAAATGAGAATTCAAATTTTGATCTTAAATTAAGGGTTAGCAACAAAACTTACGATGCTCCATAACAATCAAGGTCAGTTATAAACCCTAAACGTGCCCACTTCAATGACTGACACTCAAATTTATTAAATGACTTTTAAGGTAATAAAAGTCAAAAACCTGTCGGTGCAAATACGTATTTTGTTCCCTCCTATCACTCTGCACGCGTGTTCCACGCTCGTATCCCATCATTCTCGCGTTTCTCGCTTGCCAAAGCCTGTGAAGGAAGCAGTTTGCACATGTATAACCTATTCGCTCCTGGAAGTTTTGCCAAAGTAAATACTGTTTTTTAGACATATTTAATATGTCTACATTATTATTTTTGCTGATCAGGTCTTTATAGATCCTGCGTTCTTCGGCTTATTCGTTTGCGGTCCTTTGCAGTCCCTTGTGGTTAATGTTTGTACTGTTTTTCAATCGATCTCCTTACGTTCAACTCTACAGTTCCCGTCTCGTACCCAGGCGCGTTCTAGCGGATTCGAGAACGACTGGGATTTTGGTTCCGCGCTGGGTATCATGGGAAAGGCGAGGAGAAAAACGCGCCATGCAGATTATGATTTCACTGATGGCGGAAAGTAATTTATGCAAAACTAGAGGGAAAGAAAAAAAATCATTTAGAGTGTTTTTAGCGAAGGGAAAGTTCACCAGCTCGTCCTGAAGGACAAAATCCCCTGTCCACACAGTTCTTGTGAAAAGGACCCACAGTTTTTCGAAAGAAATGGCATTTCCCAGCATTTTCGTGTGGTACACAAATGTACCTTCATGGACGTAAACTTGCAAGAGAGCTTAGCTCTTAGAAGAAGGCTTCATGCCAAAGAAACCACTGATATTCTTAATAAATTTTTTAAAAGTAGAAGCGAAAAGAAGGTAAGACAAATTCTTGTGCTTGTGCGACATTATTTCTCCTCAAAATAGCGCAACGGGAACGGTTCACAGCCCAAATCCAGAAAGAAATCGAACCAAATCTGCGAGGCGTCTCATTTTTCTCGTTCATCCTTCCCGGCGTCCTTTGCGTCCACGCTAAACGTTCCCATGGTCCATTGCGTGATACTCCTTGATGGCTCGTGCAGTCGCGTTACCCGTTTTCCACACTTGATACGCCTAGGAACGAGGCAGCTACAGTTGACTTACCAATCAGCAAACGAAGGCAGTCGTAATGAACCTCGAATCAAATTCGTCGTTAAATGGAGAGGAAAAGTCGTTTTGTCACGTTGCCATGGTAGCAAACTTTCTAGGTGACAACAACCGAAAACATCACTTAAAAAACGAATAGGCCTTTTGTAATAGTTGGTCACGTGATCAAGTTTCTGTGAACACGAAAAAATTTTGCTTTTGGAAAATTCTGTTAGCAGGAACTTAAAGAGCATATTAAAATTAAGTAACCTGTAAATTTTCAGCCGTATGTCTCAAAAGAAGCGGCCGCCTAAAATTAGAAAGACAACTCTTGCCACCCAGCCACGCTTAAGTGATTTTTCATACAAATCCTTGTAAGTTTACAAATTTTTAAACTCTCGTTAAATCTTTGCCTTACGCATTTAAGGGCTCAAATTGCCTGTCTGGAGTAAAAAGGAGCTTTGAGCCAGGTAATGCTTAAGGCCTATTTCACGAGGCACAAATTTATGTTCGCTGTGAACGTGAAATTCTTAATCTCTCTATTGTCTCGAACGGTTGGCCCTGAAAATCGCCGGTTGTTGCGAATCGTCTCATGTGACATCACCTTAGGAAGACACTGCCCTCCATCCCCCCGGCGCTCCCCTTTGTTTTCAGGATGTTTTATTTTAGATCAAAGACAAGCATGAAGTAGAGAAAGTGGATTTGTACTTAAAGATCAAAAAGAAGCTGGTGCGTTTTCAAATTTAACGTCCCAGGAACCTTTCGATTCAAAATTTAAAGTAAATGGCATTGAGAATATTGAGCAACCGAGGCATAAATATAGGGTTTTAAGAAAAAACTCTAGTAGCAGGAGAAACGTTTGTAACCTTATGAGAAAATATTTTGAAAAAGACTTTTGGAACCAGGATTCCAGAATCTTTAAGGAGACGTTTCTGGGTGTTTCAGGGACTATTGTTGGCCTTTTGTTTTGTTGTGGTGTGGATATTGTCCAGTATCTTTTCAATTTTTTGTATTATGTTATTCGGTGATTGCACCATCTACAACCCTAACAGGTTTTTACGGATGTTGCTAACACGGGGAACAGGGAAGGGAAGGAGTACGTAAAGGAAATGAGAAAATTAAAGTTGGAACAAAACTGAACTAGGCTGATAATTATACATGAATGGAACGGTCATCTAGAATCTTTTTTAGCCGTCCTCTACTTATGGAAAATTCTATACAATATATATACAACAGATATTTTACAGAAAACAGTCGTTGGGTGCCCCAGTAATGCTAAAGAGGGCGTACGGTTCTCAAACTTGGTCAAGAGTAACCTTGTTTGGCCAATTGCCATATATCCTGGCACTTCCACCCTGATGCGTCACAACCCGGTCATTTTGTGTTCCTGTTATTCCAAACGCGCAACAGGATTTGTGATACAGATATCCTAGAACAAATCGTGTGATTTGTTAGATGAACTAACTCCGAAAAGAAATCCCATCATCTTCTGAAGAAGAGAATTGCCATTGTAAAAATCCAATACAAAATCCAGCGTTGGACGCTGGAAACAAAAACTTGGAACTCAGTGTCAATAACATTTTTATTATTTTCTGTGTTTTCTTGGCGTCACGCCGAGCTAGATCTAAAGTTCTGGTTACAAGAATCCTGATAGGCTGGTTCATTGCAGATCAGCTTAGGTTTCTGGAAAACTGACCACCTACCCCTCTCCTAGGTAAAACTTTGCTCTAAGTGTGAAGTAAGTATTAACGTTGGCTTAACGAAGGAGTAGGTCTATCAGATGGCTTCCTAAACTCTGTTGAGGCAGAGTATGTTTAAATAATAATTCGAATATTGAATGAAAGCAATTCATCGTAAGTAAGGTAAATAGCTTTTACTTCTTTAATCCATATAAGAGCATGATTGCTAAAATTAACTTACAACATACACACATATTACCTCCTAAACTCTATTGTCGCTTATTAATGCTTTTGCCTAATAATAGACCTTTTCACCGATACGGCGGCCATATTGAATTTATTAGATTTAAGGAGTATTATGGGATGCCCAGGGAGCACTCGCTCAGTATTTACGAGTGCTTTTTGGGCTAAACGAGAAGTTCACTGTTTATTTCTCCGGAAAAAGGTGATCATTATTATATCCTAACACGGCACAACGTTCTTTTTTTCCTATTACAATCTTTTTCTAGGAAAACTTAAAGAAAAACTGGCCGGAAAAGCGCGCGTAAATACTGAGCGAGTATATCGGATCGTGCTCATGCCCCCTGGGCATCCCATAATACTCCTTAAATCTAAGTTATTCAATATGGCCGCCGTGTCGAGAAAAAAAAGTCTAAATTAAAATTCATACTTGGCTTCGAGGCTGAGGGGAATGAAACAAGAGAAATCATCTTGAAGCTCAGCAATGAATAATCCATTTAATACATTTGTGCTTTATTCCCTTAAGCCTCCTAACCAACTATGAATCATATACATCGAAATTGGTCATTACTCCTCATCAAGGTAATTGGCCTTGTTTTCTACATTCAATATAAGAAATCGGTAAATTAAACTTTCAACAATTCTTTGCACTAGTGCTTAAGTATTCTTCTAGTCGCCCTTTTCTACAGTATGATTCTCTCTCTCTTTTTTTTTTTTTTGGAAAACGGAAACAACAATAACAATAACAACGGACGTAAGAAACTATCCTAATAAATTTAACGATTCAAGCAAATCTCTTATTCTGTAACAAACTTTCACTTTGGCAAATGAGTACCTTCAACTAGTTTTTTCAACTACTTTCAGAACCAGTTCTGAACAGTTTGCTCTAGCTGTTCTGTTTAGTTTGTTTGACATTCCGTAATTAAATAAAAGGAAAATTTTTAAATTGCAACTAACAAGACATCTGCCTAAACCGCTGAAAGCCAGACTGTCGGCGGTGGTGGATCCAGGGTTTGAAACCGGGCCTCCCCCGTATCTGAAGGTCTAGAACCGCTTCTGGTTGGTGGTTCTGAGACTTCGTAAGGAAAAGGTATTTTTTCCATTTTCGCGAGTACGTACGCGCGGACTGCTTCCTTGATTTTGTTGTCAATCTTAATTTTATCCCATCCGCTAAACTGCTTCTTTTTGGTGAATATTAATGATGGAATTACTCCACTAATTAACACAAAGAAAGTGGAAACCACTGCTGATATTTCCTCCATAGTTTCAAAAACTAGTACAGCGAAGAAAAACAAGCCTAAGAATAATGTAATTAGACCCATATCTCTCAACATGAAGCAGATTTCCGTTCTTAAGGGAAGAATTTGCCCTTCAAAAACCAATTCTTCATTGCTACAGACAAACCAGAAGAGTTCTTTCGGAATAGTGCCGTTATTGCCACATTTTATCCAGAACAAATTAGTTGTCTCTTCTTCCCAATGCTTTGAGATCATGTCTTTGACTTCTTTGTATCTGCTCTGTAAATTTAAAAAACATAGATGTACGTTCCTCGCCACTACCAGAATAAAAGCTACGTAAGGAGTCACGAATTCTACGTTTAATACTACTGCCATAATTGTAAACAAAAATGTGTTTATCATAACTTCTACCGCCGATTTGGCAACAATATGAACTGAAAAGTATAGAAACGTACCAAGAATTATAAGACAAGACGCAATGACGAATACCAATACGACTGGCTTAAATGCAATGTGTCTGGAGAACGATCTTGCTAAGTCAGTATAAGCATCCATCCCCTTTTTTACGACAAACATAAAAAAAGTGACAAATGGTGATGTAAATAATAACAGAAGCACAAATCTGATCAGAAAAATCAGCAGAAAAGCTATCCCGAGCGCTGTAGCAATAAGAAACCCAGGAAAAAAGCAAAGAGTAACGCAACAGGATCGAAGAGCCCGTTTTAGTCGTGTTCCTCGAATGCGCCGTAAAGTCAGTTTCGTCAAGCATTTCTTTAATACAGTCATGTACATCTCAAGCACGGAGGAAGCTAATTCGCAAACTAGCAGACGTTGTATTGTTAAGTTGTGAATGATGTCTTCTCCTAATGAAACAGAATTCAAGACAGAATCGGCGATAGAAGCCCTACAAATCGACCACCCGAGTGCTCTTCGACAAAGCAAGTCCTTTGGTCTGACCAATGTCAAAATCACAAACAATGAACAGGAAACGGCGGCATTAATTCCAATACAAATTTGTTGGTCTGCTATAGTCCTCCAATTCTCACTTGCGATGGATTGAAATGAGAACTCATTCTCAGGGATTAGAAGTGGCCAGCTGTAATTAAATTTTCGATAGACCTCGTGATAAAATTCTAACTCATAAAAGAAGACCACTGCAAGTTTGATATGTACGACAACAGGAAACAAAACAAAAAACAAAAGTAATAATCTGAAATTGAAGTTCATGTGAGTTAGTGGAAGCTTCTTTACGAAATCGCTTAGAAGAGTACATAAAGTGATAGGACTCATGTCGTCTATAGGAAGTTCAAAGTCAATCTCTTTCTGGGCTTCGTGAACAGCAGATAATTTTTCTTCGCATATTCTGTCTAATTCTTCTTCCCATGCTTCGTCCCCCGACTCCATTGTTTGTTCAGTCTCAACAATTTGCATATTCTCTTGTTGGTTTGGTGACACAGGATTATCCCAGTTTATTTCTTGTTCATTCTCATTTTCAGCTTGGGTCATTTCGCTGTGTTGTTGCCGTGAAACTCGGTATCTTGCGCCCTCAGACTCCTCTTTTTCTTTGCTCCATTCGTGCAGAAGGTTAAAAATCCAATCCGGCAGTAAAAGAAAAATTGCTGGGCCGTAAAGCACCAGAATATATCGGAGGAAAAAAGATATGATGTGAAACGGCTTGACGAACCAGTCATTTTCTGGAGCAATCCCGCAACGATAGACCGTACTATTTTTTTCTGTAATTTCCTTCACGCTGCAGCACACGGTTTCCCATCCTTCTCTATACATTTTTTTCGTATGAAATGTACACACACAGTCAGTTGGTGGCAAGCGGTTACCATGGCTTACGTTCGTGACATTACTCAACAACGTCTTCCCGACGACATTGTCCTGGCAAGATACGTTCCAATTAGCGAGACATCCAGCTGGTTGTTCCGCCAGTTGCACCGTCATGTACCTTTTTTTTCGTCTTAAAAGACCCAGTGAATGAATATCGTGTGCGTCGTCCGTCATGAGCAGCATTGGCTCTCGTATTGTCTTCGCCCAAACCCACGTTTTGGCCAAAAACCTTTCACTTGACTCCAGCGGATGGATGCTGTTGTTACCGATTTGTAAATTGAAGTAGACAAGCCTTACGCCCTTTTCTGAAGCCAGCTGTTGAAATGCGACGGCAGGGTTTTGCCCAACTAGAACAAGCTTGCACTGGCCTACGCCACAGGGCTTGTGAACAGCAGAGGTCGTCGATAAACAAACTGCGATGAGAAAAACAGCGTAGATAGCCATGTTCTGCGACTTTTTTTCCTTAACTGTCCAATGCACTCAAAGCGTTTTATGAGCAAAAAATCTGTTTTTCATGAATGAACAATTCAAGCACGAAAACCTCCTGTGGCAGTATCTTGCCAATTTGTTTTTTCCGCTTTTGTTTGTGATTGCTGTTTTGCCAGCATCAGTAATGTCCCCTTGAGCAAACCAAACAAAAACAAGGCAGAACATTTCTTGTTAATCCCAGTCACATTCCGGGCCGGTTGGTGCAGTTTTACGTCCTAATGAGCACATTTTCACTGCTAGATTAAAAGCATTCGTTTATCGCATTTTTAATCGTTGCCTATCTCGTGAATCTTGCGGTCAACAAAATTGGAATCACGGGCATTCCGACTTGTTCGACAAATTAAAATTCTTTGTGTGCATGTCATTTTACGGTCTGAAAAATGGCATTTCAAGGCAATCTTATTATTCCGCCTCTCTTTTGCAAATCACCTAACCGTTAAGTAGCATTCGCATTGTTCGTTAAATATTGCTGTCTGGTTATCAGGTCTTGATACTTCGAACGTATAATATAGAAAAAATTATCATAACACTTTTTCTTGAGACCATTGAAGAGGTTTTGCAAAATTTCTGCTGCTGTTAAGGTGACTCAGTCGGGTTTTTCAATGCGTATATCCCAGGAAGGTACAGGTATAGGTAAAACGCCAACGATCGCATGGTACTAACAAGTACATTGACGCACAGGTAGCCCAAGCTCTTTGCAAACCTTATGAACGCAGTGCTCAATAAATAGGCTTTAATGAAGAGTTAACGCAACTAGGACAACGCCAACGATAAAAACGTCACTCGTTAATAATGAAGTATTTTCATTCTCTTTTAAACTTTAAGCTAATGAAAACAATGACTATGTTAAAGTTTCGGGGTGGGTGAGCAAGATGCATTATGGTCAACGTGAAAATGTGATCATGGTCGACGACCAATCCCGGCGCGCGTAATATTTACCACTTTGTATAGAATAATTCATACTTGGCTCCGAGGCCGCCCGGAAATGAAACATGAGAAATGAATTATTCATCCCTGAATCTTAATGCGATTTCTGTTGTTTTATAACCCCTTATCCTTTGACTCAAGTGGGAATTTTAAGAATTCGAAAGTGGGCTATACTTTTCTATTCTTGAAATTCATACTCAGTGATTTTTATTTTTTTTTCAGGCTGGTTCAGCATTTTTTTACTCTCCTGTAAGCCACGAGATCAAGCAACAACTCAGAGCACACCCACCAGGAACCTTCCAGAAGATCTCCAGTATGTTTTGAAGAATAGTTGACAAAGGATTCAAGTCAAGTTTAGCTGTGTTTAGGCAAGTAAGGTATTAGGGTGGAAACGTAAGCTACCAACAATTCCTGGCATTTTACATGGATGCTTACGGAATCTTCGTCTGTTTTACCTGGAAAGAGGTTACTAACGGGAGTGGCCCAAGTATTAATTTTTTTTTTCTCTCAAAACCCCAGCGGGCTCATTCAGGACCTCAGTTTACGTTCTGGAAGAAAAGCTATATTTTTATTTGATTTTTTATTTTAAATTTACTTGTATATTATAATTAGAATAATCCACAGTTTCTAAGCCAACTTCCACCTTATTTGACTGCCTTTGTCCATTGCAAAAGTCGTATAATTATTAATATATATTATTTAAATATACTTCAAAATATAATAGATGCTTTAACCTTTGACTCCCAAAAGTGGGCAAAGTTAAAATTCAACAAAACTTTTTACATTTCATTTTGTAAATGCTGTATCATGTGAAAGTACTGCCAAAGGGGTTTTATTTGAATGGTCACACCAAAGGATTTCATCCACAGACTCAAAAGCTAGAACTACATACTAAATAAATAGGACCATGTGAAACTACTGCAGAAGAGGTTTCAGTTGAATGGTAACGCCATAGGGTTTCATCCACAGACTCAAAAGTTGGAACCACATACTAAATAAATAGTACGTATACCATGTTAAAGTACTGCTGAAGAGGTTTCATTTGAATGGTCACACCATCGGATTTCATCCACAGATTCGAAAGACAAAAAAAGTATTCATTATTCCATTATTCACTCCGGGAGTGGAGGGTTTAAGGACTCCTACTAAGGTTGGAAGACCATAGAAAGTTTCATACCAAAGAATTTTCCAAAAGTTGCTGAATACTGCCTCTAACCTCTTCCATTTATTTTGATCAATCGCGGAGTTTGCGGAGCTACATCTTTGTTAGTTTTCAAAAAATGACTTTCAAACTTGGTACTTTGCTGATTAGAACGTATTTTCCAGCCGACGGATTTTCGATATTCCTTTAAGCCCAAATATCAACACAAAAATTCTCTACACTGATCTCCATACGTTTCCTTGAAAAACTAGTAAAGAGAATTTGGTTTTAAGATCAAAGCTTTTTTACCACTCGTGATATTTCAAAATTGTCACAATTTTACTCGCCTAACGGCTGGTGAAATTATGTATAACAATTTTCGAAATACCACTCGTAGTATTTATGCCAGATATCACTACAAATCATGCTATTACCTATACTTTTTTAAAAATCATCACATCAACTGAACATGGGCTTTTTTTAAAAGTGTTCCAAATTTGGTTCGTTGATTGATTTTTAATGTCAGTGTCCTCGTCGTCAGAACCTGAATCGTCACTGATCAGTTGTGATGAATCAGACCCCACTTTAGCTTCATCCTTCAGATTTACTTCTATGGTTAGCTTTAACGGGCAACCTATATGGGTGGGAGAGGGGCGATTATTCGAGGGACGCTATTATATTATACATTTCCGTCAAAGGTAGGCGATTATTTGAGGCGAGGTTATTATGGGGGGATTACAGTTGAATTTTGGGGGAATTGGGGTTGAATTGAGAATGAAAGAAAGAAGGATAGAAGAGTGTATACCACGGGGGGAAGACTCCGCATATGAAAGGGTGGGGATGCTCGCCGGAAATTTTGAATTAAATCCCTAAAGGAGACCGATCTGGGCGTGGCCCAAGCTTTTCTTGATCCCCAAAGGAGACCATGTTAAAACACAGACAAAACACATTTTTTTATATTTTTTCGCGTGCAACCCTAAACGAGACCTTCACGGCTAAATATGATGGCGTTTTGCCCGGAACAGCCTAAGTGAGACCACTGAATCCGAAATTTACACCCCTAAGCAAGACGACGAGCATCCCCTCCCCTTTCATATACCGAGTCCCCCCCAGGGGGGGTATACATGTAAACCAGTTAGTCCGCTAATTGGCTCAGGGCCACCTTCTTGTGTTGGCGGACTGTCTGGGCTGAGTTGCTCAAAGCATGGTTAGCTTTAACCATTGGTTAAGCAGTATCAAAACCAATGCATTGTCAAGGTATTAAACGCTGGTTAACGCTAACCATGCTTCGAGCAACTGGGCCCTGGTCTTTTGTCAATTAATTATTCACTTCAAATTTTAATTTTTAACTACCCTTTAATCCAATATTTTCTCATTTTTCCATAGCTTTTAACATTTGCCCTTCAAACTTTTATTGATTACAAATATTCTAACAATCACCAAAAAGTTCTCAAAAACTCATCGTTCCAAGAACTTCATGATGAGTGATTTATTTTTAAAATCGAACGATATTTCAACGAGATTTTTTAAGGAAAAGTGCTCACGTAGAATACAAACAATGCATTTAATATAAAAAACTGTAATCCCCCCTTAATCGAGGCACGGCTACTATTCGAGAAAATACGGTATTTTATCTACCAGTTTTAGGTCTCACAGAGATATCCATCCTTCAAATTTGAGCTCCCTCAGAAACGCACTGCTTATTTTAAGCTGACAGAGAGGCCCCTAGCACCTTTCCTACCACCTAACCCAAAGAGACTAGCATCTCGAAAATTTATTAATTTCGATCCAACCGATCGATCGAACCGATCCGATCTCGCTAAAACTGGGTGGTACTGATTTACTACTCTGGAGTCAAAAAGCTTACAAAGACACTCTCAAGGCTACGATCGGGCCCGTCATTTTGCAATCGGGACCACGAAATACACTTTCCCCTTAATTACATAATACAGGGCTCAGAAAAATATGTAGAAGATAACGCTCTTATAGATTTCAATTCAATTCAATTCTTTATTTCACACTATATAAGATATTTACACAAGTGTACGTAGGTAGGAAAATAAAGTAGCTGATAAATAATAATTAACTAAAAGATATTAAGTTTATTTGTGTACAGTGTCCAAAGTAGCAAGAGCTTTCTTGTTGGACAATGTCACTTCGCTTAATCATCATGAACATCGAGGCAGCTATTGGAGGAAAACCGCGCTTCCGTGAACGATTCTGGAAGAAAAGTTCCCAGTGCCGAGAAATAATGCTGCAGGTAAACTAGGTAATGGCGTCATTTTGTTGCTATGACAACTCCGATGTCATTGCAACCCTGATCATAACCAGGAGCCGATTATCGGCTCCTATCATAACAAATTTGTATAGGTAATAGCATGATTTGTAGTGATATTTGGCATAAATACCACGAGTGATATTTCAAAATTGTTATACGTAATTACACGAGCCGTTGGGCGAGTGAAATTTGAGACAATTTTGAAACATCACGAGTGGTTTTTATGCCAAATATCACGTACAAATCATGCTATTATTTGTTTATACTACTACCCGCGAAACGTTGTAATTTTCACATGTAGGTATTTCAAATTAAGCTGAAATACCACTCCTCTAAGCCAATCAAATTGCAGAAATTTCTCATGTAGTAGTATAATCATCTTTATCCAATACAACTGTGGTGGCAATTTTTCCAAATCTTTGTTTGTGGCGACGTACGAAGTTTATGCTCAAACTCGGGAGGTATGGACCCTGAAAAACTGTATCGAGCCACCTTAAAACAACTACAGAACTGCAATAACACACAGAAAACAATCAAACAAATTTCAGTTTACAAGTATTACAAAATTACAACTGTATAGAGACAGTATTACTTGAAAATAAGAAGAAACTGTCAGGGTACATTGTTGCTCAGTCTGCTTCATTGTATGCACTTCTCTTCGTAATCATTAATATTTATTCAGTTTATTCTATTTATTTCGGTGTTGGACATTTTAACTTTATTCAGGGGTATATATTGTATAATAAATAGATTTGTTTTTAGGTCTGCTCAGAAATCAAAAGTTCCACCATATCTCAAATATCTTTTGTTAAGGGACAAAGGATGTGAAGCTGTCAGAACAGCTGGACACACTTTAGATTTTACCAGCAAACCTTTGCTGGTCAGTTAAGTCCTTTGGTAAAAGATCTTTGTACCGAACTCTTTGGTGTTGGGATCAATCAAAAATAGAAGTTGGACGCACGGTAATTGCGGGAAACATGATAAGTGTAGTCTCAGTCTTTCACAACTAAAGGTTTAACTGAGGTTAAGAAACACCTCTTCAAACTTATTCAGAAACACAGGAACAAGTTCGGGGAATGGGAAAACAAGCGTTTCCTGTTAACGAAGTTCGTTCCGCCGCCGCCCCGCCCGCCCATAACGAGCTGCACGGTCTTAGCAACCAAAAAAACCCCTCAGTATCCAGCTGAGATAGCTGAGTAAAAGTCAGCTATCTCAGCTGGATACCCAGTAGCTTGGAACATTCCCTATTCCCTTAATCTCTGATCGTATTTCGCATCTAATATGATAGAGGCGTCAATTTTCACGCAATCATGTCATCATCCTGAGGCGACAAATAAAATTAATTAAAAATGCGGTATCAAACAAAATGTCCGGAAAAAATAATTCAGTGCCTTCTAAAAAGAACATTTTAAAGTCTGCGGTCGATTTCATTGCCAACGTGTTATATATCCCAGAAGCGCTCAGGCATAATAACATCATGCTAGGACTTCTACCTGGGTGAACCAGAAAGGATATAGAACAACTGCCTAATTTTTTTTTCGGCTACGGATCGAAACGCTAAACGTGTTATATATCCCAGAAGCGCTCAGGCATAATAACATCATGCCAGGACTTCTACCTGGATGAACCAGAAAGGATATAGAACAACAGCCTAATTTTTTTTTCGGCTACGGGTCGAAACACTAAACGTGTTATATATCCCAGAAGCGCTCAGGCATAATAACATCATGCCAGGACTTCTACCTGGGTGAACCAGAAAGGATATAGAACAACTGCCTAATCATGTTTCTTTTTCGGCTACGGATCAAAATAATAGACGTGTTATATATCCTAGAAGCGCTCAGGCATAAGAACATCATGCCAGGACTTCTACCTGGGTGAACCAGAAAGGATATAGAACAACTGCCTAATTTTTTTTTTCGGCTACGGGTCGAAATGCTAAACGTGTTATATATCGTAGAAGCGCTCAGGCATAATAATAACATGCCAGGACTTCTACCTGGCTGAACCAGAAAGGATATAGAACAACTGCCTAAATTTTTTTTTTGCGGCTACGGGTTGAAATGCTAAACGTGTTATATATCCTAGAAGCGCTCAGGCATAATAACATCATGCCAGGACTTCTACCTGGATGAACCAGAAAGGATATAGAACAACAGCCTAATTTTTTTTTCGGCTACGGGTCGAAACGCTAAACGTGTTATATATCCCAGAAGCGCTCAGGCATAATAACATCATGCCAGGACTTCTACCTGGCTGAACCAGAAAGGATATAGAACAACTGCCTAAATTTTTTTTTTGCGGCTACGGGTTGAAATGCTAAACGTGTTATATATCCTAGAAGCGCTCAGGCATAATAACATCATGCCAGGACTTCTACCTGGGTGAACCAGAAAGGATATAGAACAACTGCCTATTTTTTTTTTTTCGGCTACGGGTCGAAATGCTAAACGTGTTATATATCCTAGAAGCGCTCAGGCATAAGAACATCATGCCAGGACTTCTACCTGGGTGAACCAGAAAGGATATAGAACAACTGCCTAATTTTTTTTTTTCGGCTACGGATCGAAATGCTAAACGTGTTATATATCCCAGAAGCGCTCAGGCATAATAACATTATGCCAGGACTTCTACCTGGGTGAACCAGAAAGGATATAGAACAACTGCCTAATTTTATTTTTACGGCTACGGTTTGAAATGCTAAACGTGTTATATATCCTAGAAGCGCTCAGGCATAATAACATCATGCCAGGACTTCTACCTGGATGAACCAGAAAGGATATAGAACAACTGCCTTTTTTTTTCACGCGTCGAAGTTCTAAACTTGTTATTCTTAGAAGCGCTCAGGCTTAATAATATGTTAGATTTCCAGCGACTGATTTTAGCTGATTTTGCGGTGCGCAAGAATGGATAATTTACCCGACTTGTAAACAGATATTTCGTTCAGCCGATTGTGTCTGATGCAGGAGAATGTCATGTCTGCGTTGTTTTGTTTCTACTTTATCAAAGAAAGTTTAATAGGAAGATCGCAATTTATACTCTTACCAACTATAAATTAGGGCTGACCTGGAAGACGCATTGAATTGTGCCGCCATCCTTCAAAATATAATCTGGCTGCGTTTAGGGAGACAATTTCCTCTTCCATCCAGGTTTACTTGGTATATGTGTTTGCGAGAATCTTCAGACAAAGAATTGGGTATACACTGATTCGAATGGCTTGGCGATACTAAGTGCTGAAGTCTACTTACCGATTACAACATGTTTTGGAAGTATTGAGAAGCGCGCCAAACGAGGTTGTCACAGCGTTCTCGAGCGAACACGGCGCGACCTGGATTGATAAAATTACTATTACATGCAGCTATCATGCCAGTGATTTCTCCTTTCGTCGCATAGTGAATAGTTTGTGAGCACATCCTCGACTCTCGAAACATTTGTCTTGCGCCGCTATAGAAGTTGCTTCTCCCGCGAACCATAGGTAGATTTCCCGCTTAACATAATGTTTGATAATTTATGCAAAAGTTGACCTCGTGAAAGTCAGCAGTGCATTAATCGACTCAAAAATAAACAGACTTCCTACAGGGTTTTGAACACGGTTTTAATTAAAGTACTTTACGAGCGCTGCGGTAGTTGACCGCAAAAGTGTTACGGTGATGAATATTCAACTGGATGATTGCGTCACTTCATAGCAACCAGACGGTACGAATTTTTTAACTTCCGGAGCGCTGAGGCTCGTAGTACTTAAACCTGGAGTTGGTTCTCACTTTCTCTTTTTTCGTGCCTCTCCCATCTCGCACCAACAGTCACGCGCGTGGCCATTTGCGTGTCTCGCGTTTTGCTCGACGGACTACAGAAAAAAGAGAGACTGCTCGTAGTCTAATAAGTTGGGGGAAGGAGGTCTTTACGGCAGCTACTCTAGTTTGTACCTGACCACCTACTCCCTAAAAAAAATCTGGATGCTAGTATCAAACGATTCAGGAATTACAAAATCGTTTCCAATGTTGAATATTC